GTATTGGTCTTTTATTGTGGAAATTGTTTAAATACAGTTAGCCGAAATGAACTTGCCATTATGGGGAATAGTAGTTTTGGTGGTATTTTGAACTAGTACTGGCACACATTTGTAATAATTCAATGAGCCATTCAAATTGTATCAATCTATATTCTTCCTGTTACCATTTTAAAAGTGATTTACAGCATAGACTTTTGACAGTTCTGCGTTCATAATAATGAACCAAATTTGACCTAAAAATTTGGCTTTTAATATGCTTCACAATAATAACTGTAGAATATATTCCTTTCATGCTTGTTTTCCCAGTTCACATTAACAATACAATCTTCTCTCCCACTCCCTCCTCTCTCTCTCTCTCTCTCTCTCTCTCTCTCCCTCTCCCTCCCTCTTTCTTTCCCTCTCTCTTTCCCTCTCTCTCTCTCTATCTATCTATCATTCTCTTCTCATTTTATCCTTAACTCAATATCTGCCTTTCTAATTTGCTTATATGCACTTTAATACAACTACACAATGCTTATATACATATATTCAACTTGTATAATCATGTTATGGATAACAAAGCTTGTTTTCCATCAAATAAATAAATACAACCATTCTGAAATTGGAAAAAAAAATGAACACATCACCAGTCACTTTCCAATGTTGTATTGTCTGCATCCAAATTTGAATTTTTAGGATGTGTAATCCTGGAAAAAAACAACATACATTTAGGACAAAGAGATACTACATCTCTTTGGTTAGGATACCTATTTCATATTCAGTGTAAAGAGCACCCCATTGTTAGGATGTCAGGCCTCATTGAACAGCATCAGAAAGGAAGATTAAAGTGATCCATCGCTGCTACTACTCTAATTTGCGTAATTGAATAGCTGCTTTCTCAACAGTTGTAGATCGAGCCATCATCCAGCTTTGAGGGTCGATACACTTTTTAACGCCAATTTAATTTCCCATCACAATGTCACGCTTCTTGGTGCAGTCCCTGAATGTGTATATTCCTGTCAGTAACAGTTTTTTTCCCCCAAGGTCATAAAATGCATGGATGCTAAGCAATTAATTACAATTTGTAATGTACCATATTTAGTGGGGTGTGTATTAAAGCCAAGCCGGAAATGGTGGCAAAATGATAAGATTAAAGTGATATTGAAGTGCAGTTGTGATCCCCTCTAGTTTTTATTTCATTCCCACATACCGGTACTGGATTATATTAAATAGTATAGGGAGGGGTTACATTAAATTAATCTAGATGATGATATTTAATTCTAGTTTTCTGATTTCAGAATTCAGAGAGGGATTAATAAGTGATTTCAAACTACTTTTGTATAAAACTATCAATATTTGCACAGTGGCCTTCAACTTCTACATGAATATTAAACTGGGAAATACAGGCAACTTTAATTTTGTAAAACTAGAAACTCTTATGACTGGGTAATATGATGCCAATTTGGGTGTCTAGAAGCTTTCATGAATTTAAACTTTTTTCATGATGTGTTTAAATCTTAATATGATATTTTTGGTGGCATGAAACTTTTCTGGAATGTTCACAGATGTTTCTGGTTTTACAGGAGATAACATATACATGTTCATGTGAAACGGATGGGCACATGTAATGGTTGTCATACGTGCCAGTGTGCTTCACGCTGGGACGGTGCACAGAGACTAGAAGAATGTTCCATATCTCCCGTAATACCCCAGTTGCGGCTGGGGTACCGGTATAAATCCAGCCCTAATTCAGCTCCTCCAGTAACAGAGTCAATTCATTCCTGATCCCGTAGTCTCATCGGGAGTTGATTGTTGGAAAAATATGGCTGAATTGGAGAAATCCTAGTGGGAAAATGGGTCTCCCTACGCGGCCGGCCTGCCAGGCTCAACCCTGGATATACCAAATAGACAGATGTATGTAGCTTTGATCTGGTGTGAGGTTGGTTGTAAGAGGGTTAACTTTGCTTTGGGTATGTCTGTTTGGAGTGCCAGCTGCTTTGTGAGCTAGCTGAGTCACAACATATAGGTGGGAGCAGTATCCAGGAGGGAGGGGAGGACGAAGGGTAGAAAGAGACAAACAGACTGAGACATGGGGATGGAGAGAGAAAAATATAGACAGGCAGGGAGAAAAACAGACAGAGAGATGGGCAGGAAAGGAGAAAAAGAGAGAGAAAGAGAGAGAAATATAGACAGAGAGAGACAGACATACAGATAGAGAGATGGAGAGATGAGAGTGAGAGACAGAGAGAAGGGGAGCAGGTGAGAGGGCTGATCATGAATGAATTAGTGATAGAGAGGTTTTAGTGTGAGGAGTCAAAGGCAACAAGGATAGTCGGTCAGTGCCTCTCTCTCCCCCTCTCTCTCTCTCTCTCTCTCTCTCTCTCTCTCTCTCTCTCTTTCTCTTGGTAATGATCTATTGTATGTTCAGTTCACAGTCATCCTTTACTCATTATTTTCTTTCACATGTGAAGAAAGCAAAAAAGCTAATGTAGGTCCAAGTTCTAAGAAATGAAGAGCTTTCCTGTAAAATGATGCTTAACTTTTGACCTACCGTATGTGGGACACAAGTCACAAGTTTCATGAAAGATAAAATTATTCCTTTAACTATCTTTGTTAGATAAACAAGATCTATTGTAACCAGTCAGTCTGTAGACACATTTCCTGGAAACATGCAGGTGTTCCGATGTGTCTTTATTTCCAGGTTTGGTTAGTTAACCCTCTCAGACTCCATTCAGGCTCTGCTTTCTTACCTTGCCGCTCTTGTCACTATTACCACACATTTGTAAGAATTCATGTTTCCCAGACTTCAATCGAAGACAACTGATTGGCGAATGGTTCTAATCCATAGACGTATTAGTCCTACCCCTTCAACAGGCTGGATCAAGTAATAAGGCTTTTTGTTTAAATTCACATTCATGGATCTATCCATCAATAACTGCCACAGCTTGCTTGAATTCATGTTGCATGTCAGCGATGATAGAAGCCCTCCTCCATGTTGTATGTGTGATACGTGCGACACGATGACGGGGCCAGAGCTTCTCGGGGACGGGCTCCCAAAGGAACGCCTGTGCAACCCACTCCAGGTCCCAAGGAGGGGGCCAAGGGCTTAAGCTGGTCTGTTGGACTGAGAAGCCAGCCAGAGTCGGAGAGCTTGTCTTAACGATGATTGGTCTTGACGGGATGGTGATGGGGCTAATTTTTGAGAGGTGTGAGAGGATAAACGAGGCCAGGAGACATCCCAGAAAATCAAGCTTTTTTTTTTCCTTTCCTCCTCGATCGTTTCACAGTATCTGCGTTGTCGTGGTAACTTGAGGAGCTTCATTAAACCCTAAGCCGCAGATGGTGTACATACGTGATGATATTGGGGCCAAACGGCCCGGTGTTAAGTGACTGAAATGTGGCAAAACTTCACACCGGTCTCAAAGGATTGGAAACAAAGTCTTCTTGTGAATGAAGATTTAGTCCTTTACCGTATATCTGTTCTTGATTCCAACTACATTCTCACTTGTATATCTTCATTCCTCAACTTCATTCCTCTTCTTTTATTTTCACTCTTTCCCTCTGTTTTCAATTCTCTTTGTGTTTTATTTGAATCTTTCTTTTCACCTTTATTATCTAATTCTCTAATATAATATACAGACCTTTCTCTTTTATATCCTTTTCTCTCTTTCTATATTTTTCTATCTTTTTCTCCTCATCTACTGCTATTTCAAGAACTGGATCCCTGATATTTGCTGTATAGTTATACCTCAAATGTCTGCATGTGACAGAAAAGGAGTTTCTTTTCAAACAATTTTTTTTCAAAGGAGAAACACTACTTTCTCATGACACAGAAACCTTAGAATAACCTTTTGTAGGTAAACAAACATGTTATTTTATATCTCCTGTGTCTTACACATGAATGTAAAAGATAAAAAGCATTCCCACATGTAGCTAAATATTTAGTTTGAAAACAAAAGGAAGCTCCGTCAGCTGGACATCTAGAATGTATCTAGTTCTGATGTAGTCTGTTGGACAGACCTATTGAACATTTTATGAAAAGAGCAGAGAAAGAAAATAAAATGTCTGAGTGGAAGAGATGAGAGAGAGAAGAAGGGCTTGAGACAGAGCATTTAGTTGCTACTTAATTCGTCACTGTTTCCAATTCGAGCATCTACTACAAATCTCTCCTTTTTAATTATATCCTGGGCTATGAAAACACTCCAAATCCAGCAAAAATAGATTGTATTTTGGAGACTAAAAACAGTCGTTGAATGCTACTTTTTCATGTGAGAAATGGTGCACTTTCACTATGGGATACCAGGAAATGTGATCCTCTATTTGTCTTACCCAATGTTAGGGTGCCGAAGACAAACTTTAGATGACTTCTGGACAAAACATGGCATAACTCTTCCAACTCGGGCAAATCGGAGAGCCCCCTCCAGCCGTCAATCATAGCCCTTTTTCTTCATGTTCTCAACATATGCGCCGATTTGAGTGACAATGTAGTGGGGGGCATGAATATACCCCCAATCCGTTATAAATGTTTCCTGTGCTATGTTAGCAGCGATCCAAAACATATTCTGCGAACCAAAGGCAACACGATCATGCATTTTATGTCAGCAGATACCTGGATTAAATCCATTATAGCGTACCCTGATACGCATCAATAAATATTCGTTTTGCTGATATTCCCAGGGAATGGGTGCAAAAAGGTACTAATGTTGAGCAGTCATTCTTCAAGGCATGTCGTGTTTCTTGGGGGTATCAAATGGTTGTTTATCTGCATTGTACATGTACATGTATTTCCAGATTTTATTTTTCAGAGCTAACAATTACTGGGAGTCTTGCTACTATGGTTTTCAGGTGGCAGGTGTCTTAAAGTGTCATTCATTTTCTCTATCTCAAAACCTTCTTCATGTTGTCCTTTTGAATTATCTTTTGCCTGAAATTCATACATGTATGCCCAGTGACATTTTAATGTTTATTCAGTAGTATCATTACGTCTAAATTATTGTTCTGATTGTATCTTCCATGTACAGATACCAGCAGACACCGTTGATCTACCAAGCCTCTCCATACTACGTCACCCAGCCCACGTTTGCTACCGTCCCCGCCCACTCCCCGACCGCTACCCAGCCATTCATCGACTACACCTACGCCGCACACCAACAATACAACCAGGCGGGAACCTTCGGTGACCAGTTCAGCTACGCCAGCACGCCCCACGGCTTCGTCACGCCTGCCTACAACCTAGCGGCAGTCCAATCGGCCGGCTCGCTTCCCACCGCCGTCAACCAAGCAGCGCAGTTCTCGCAGTTCCAGGCAGCCCAGCCTACAGTCGCTGCAGATCATACATGTTTGCAATAACTATGATCCAATGCCACCGCGATCGCCTATCTAGATTCTTCTTTTTATTTTTCGTTGGAAAGGGAATTTCATTTCTTAGATTTTTGATGGAATCTCTTTCGACTGGAGGACATTTGGTTCTGAAAGCATCTTTCAATTCTGTTTATTAGCCACATTCACAGGTATTGTTCGTGAACTGCGGAGGGTTGCAGCGAGACGGCCAGGCTCTCCTTTCTTATCGACTTGGTGAGTCGTGAGGAGTGTGACACATGGAGAGCGATACCTCTGCCGTTAATCGCCTTTTTGTGTCGTCCATCTTCAAAAAGATGTATAGAGGACACGTGAGAAAAGAAAGGATGTACTGCCATATTGCACTGTTATGCAACGTATAGCATTCACACAATTTGTACAGAGAAATTATGAGAAGTAAACTTGTTGGAAAAAAAAATGTTTGTGATTTTGTCTACGTCCTATGTCAGTGCACCTAATGTATTGTGTATTCATATTATACAGTCAAAAACTGTCTCATATTTGTAGCTATTTAAGCAAATGCCTTCATTTTTGTTGTTGTCATTGGTCGTTTTACATGCGAAAAGCAAATTCAATTTGATATCGTTTTTTCTTTTGTTTGGAAACTGTTAACTACAAAGTCGGTAAACCTCGTTCGTACTCTACCATATCTGAAACGGGTTCCTTGTGCATGGTTATGCTTGTTGTAGTAATGGCTTCACCTTGAAGGAGGTCTTAACTGACATAGCACCAGTCACTTCTCTCAAATATATCTTCTAAAGAATTGCATTTACTACCCACTATCTTATATTCAACCCAATTTATCAAACCACGCCTAATTTCTTGACAGAAAATATGGCTTCTTCAATTTCAAATTCTACCCTATGGACAGATCTGTGAGGTAAAGAAGAGAACAAATTATTCATGTAGAAAATCTAGCCAGCATTTAGTAATCATTACATTATATTATGTACTTATTGGTCACTTATATATGTCACCTTGAATACATCTATTTATTTGCGTGACGAATATTAATACTCCGTCCAGCTGATGATAAGTTGTAATTATAAAAAACATGAATTGAAATGAAATGTGCAAGCATGCCAAAATAGCGGCTGATTTGGAGATGAAATTCGTGCTAAATATCTGCTTTCAGAAAATGAAGAGAAAGGCAAAATGCAATGTGTATTTTTTTTTTGTTCTTAGCATATAATGCGAGACTCTAAAGTATATCTATCCCCCACTTTTTTTCCTTTTCTTTTGTAGATCATATATCAACCAAGTTAGATCCCCTTTCCCATTTTATTTTTGGTTTCAACAATAATCACCTTTTGCACCTATTTTAATTGGTATCACAGCTAGATACTAGCAGGAAACATCTGGGGTTACTTTTAATTTAGCCCCTCCTACCTGCTGCATATGCATGATTATGCTCTTGAGTGACTAATTTCTATCTTATGAGCCAATAAAGCTACAATTTTTGTTGAAGGAAATCTTTTCTTTTCTTTTTAACCTTTACTTTAGCTCATGTATGAAAAACATGCACTCATTTTTATTCAGAGAAATAAAAACAAGATTGTTAAGCCAGTGTTGGTTAAAAGCTATACTGGGGCTAGTTCCTTTCACAAATGAAAATGAAACAACTTTACTGGCAAAATTCAATCAAAATCTTCCCTTTTATTGAAGTAAAAAAAAGAGAGGGAACCAAACATGACAGTTTGTGGGGGGAGGGAGGGGGGGGGGGGGAGGAAGTGCCATGTTGCGATGTCATGTGACTTCTTTTATTGGATAATCCTCCCAAGTAGTTTCCAGATTAAAGGATTTAGGCCTTAATCTCGGGTCCCCCCTTTACCCCGGATCAAAGAGCGAGTGATGGGTTAACGATAGAAATTGACAAATTGTGCCCTCTTTTTTACAACTCCGGTTGTTGAAACTTGTCATCACGGATTTCGTCCAGCCCTTGTTTTTTTCTTCTTGTGAAATCTTTGGGGTGGTGAATTTGGTAGTTTGCTCATAGTATCCAAGAGTCTGGTTGGATGGAGGTGTTGATTACATGTTTGACATTACTGTGAGGGGGAGAATGGTGGTATGGGAACAAGAATAACAAACATGTTAGACCGTGTTGGCCTGAGTATGGAATGGAGAGGCCCTACCACCTCATCCTTGTGCGATCGACTGCCAACTTTGGTAGACTGGAACTTTTCCTTCACATGAAAATTCAAGAGTACCAAAAAAATCTTTTGCATCCCAGCGATCTCTCTTCCTTCTTTTTCATTTCATAAATATTGCCTTTATTTCTTTTATAAAGAAAAGGGTTATTAATGTCCTTTGGAAATATTTGTGGGAATTGTCAGTACTAATGGTGGAGAATAATAATGACAATTTGGAAAAGTACTTAACAAAATGTTTTCTTGCTTAGTTTAGGTTTACTACAAATAAGATTGCGGATTGTAAAATGACAGTTATTTGAGGGTCATTTATAGCCTTTTCAAAGTTGAATCGTTATGAAGTCAGCCTAGAACTATTTGCAGAAATGCCATCAACTTAAATTGATTGATTAGGGGGCTCTAAGAAAACAAACACAAGTAAAAGCATGTGCTCTTAACAGTATTTTACCAATCAGCATCGAATATCTGCCCTTGGTGATGAGAATACTATTTGCTGAATGACCTATTTCTTTTTCGAAAAAATCAACCTGAACATAAATAAGTGTCTCTTCTATGTTCTGTCCTGTAGTAATGTCCTTTTTTTGTCCTCTGTACTTTGGTCGGTGCACTATGATTGTATCTGTGCATTTTATGTATAGCAGAGAGAATCAGAGAATAAGTTATATGAATGTTTTATGACATGAATCCAGATTGTTATAACAGAGATTTACATGTAGTACATGTTTATGTCCAAAAGGGTGAAAGATTGTAAATGCTGAGGACAAAATTGTTTAGAAAACAAATCACTTATGATATGAAAATTTCAGATTCAGTGTACTATTATTATTACTATTATGGATATCTATTTGGTATGATTAATTCTCATTTTCATATTTAATATTCAAGCATTATGTCTATCAATATTATTATTACATGTTAATAACTATGAGTAGTGTATATAGATAAGGTCGATGGTTTTATATTAAACTATGTAGATATTCAAAATGCAAACTTAGAGTAGTTTTAGAGCATATCTAGCTGTAATAGATATTGTACAAGTAATATATATGAATGTATTCTTGATATAAGTACTTGAATATACACCATGGGGTTTTTCTTATGGAACATGCTTTAAGAATGTATAATTTTGAATTTTTCTGAGCAGTCTTTAAAACTAAATTTCCTACATAATGTATCAGAGAGCTATTTGTTACAATATTCTTCATACAATTTGGCTGATTTTGCCGACGTGAGGAATATTATTCAGTCCTGTGCTGTACCCCATGTAAGCTGAAAACATTGTACAAAGGATGATACAACAAAAATGTCACTATCTATTTGTTTTTCTTTCGGTCATCAAATCTTTTCATATAAAAATGAATTAAGGTATATCAAACCTGTTCTTTCAAAAAAGAGAATGCTTGATGCATCTAATCATGAAATACTTTTTTTGTATTGTTTGGATAAAATGAAAACAATTTTTTTACAGTGACTTATGGTGTCTTGTAACTATCTGCATGCTTAAAGTAAAAGACTTCAAATGGGCTTTGTCCTGTCTTAAATCAAAATGCTTTTATACCATCAAAGAGAGGGAAGGAATATTTGACATCTGTAGCTGACGATCTTTCAAACATTTCTTTGTGTAACGAGGGACTTCCTTCTGTCTCTGTTCATCGAAGGATTCTAGTTTAACATGTTGTAGGCCTAGCTAACTGTTCATACTGTTTAGAAGAGTAGGATAAGAAAAAAACAGAACTGTGCATTAATTGATAAGCTGTCAAATTGTTTTATATATATGTCGAGTAAAATATAACGAACAAAATGTCTTGTATAAATAGTTAGCTTAACAAAGGAGGTTAAAGGGGTAGTTAGATATAGATATCAATTGTTAAATGTTATGATTCGTACTCGTTATCAGATAATTACAAGAGCTTTGGCGTCGGACAAACTAGTGTCTTTCGAGGACAAAATAGCAATTAATGTAAATTGTATTAAAGTACCAAGCATAGGCCACTTTTAATCTTATTGATTAATTTTATTATAAGTATGGAAATTAATTATGTTTTTATTTAATCATGTAAAGCTATACCTAGTGCATTTATGTAAAATATATTTTAGAGAATACAACAGAAACTAAGAGGGTCTAAAAAAAATTCTAATAGACATTCACTAACTTCGTAAAATCATTCTTTGATTTTTGAGAGGACAGCAGCAAAACAAAAAACACTTTTCTGATTTTTACAAGCAGTCATAACCAACAAAAATGTTGATGAAATGATGAAAGCTAGCTGATTATGTATTTATCAAAAGCAATAAAAAGACGTGAAACGAAAGTCGAATATCTGATGGAATAAATATGACAATCTTTATAATTGCTTTCATTTTCTTTGTACAGAATAGTTCTCTCTTTTCTTTCATTTTATACCAATATAATCATTTTTTATTTGTTCTTCTTTTTCTTTTTTAAAATCCTTAGCCCACTTTGTCATCTGTTTTTTGCGTAGTGTCGGTAATGAACAAAAGAAAAGCAAATAACCGCTGTACTGTACGTTACCAAGATGGCCTATGCAATTCAACATGTCTTCCAATTATACTACATGTACTGTAAATTAGCATCGTATTTATAATCGTAGCTCTCTTTTTTTTTCATTGTTAAGACTTGAAGGGGCTGTTCTCATTACCAGGTATTCACGATTCACTCCGTATAACACACATTCAATGCAGTTTGGAGTAGTGTTATTGGAGGAGTTACAGGTGAAAGTCTGGATTGTGTCAACATGCCCCATGTAGGAGAAAGCTGTTTAATATGGAAGAAAGAAAAAAAAAGGCAAAACTATTACCATGTATATTCAGGGTAGGTTATCTGTTATGCCACCATGTATGTCATAGCTTGGCAAGAATATAGTAAATGTAATATTAAGAAAGAGAAGAAAAAAATGACATCGCCAATAAATTACAAGGAATAAATATGGAACAGCTTTTTGTTGGTGTGTATTATTAACGGTGTGATATGAAGGAGAGTTTTGATTTTCATGAATGAATCAAGAGGTGGTTAAAGATGGAGGAATATTTGTGATTCAGGAGAAAAAAAGAATTCTATTTTTTTTCCAATTAATGTATGCGAATGAGTTCGACCGTGATAATGGTAAAGAAAGTGATTAGGATGATCGAGTTAGTTAATTATAAAGAACGTGATGATGCTAGATGGTGATGATGATGAGGCAGAGGAGAAGGAGGATAATTTTAACGTGGTGGTATTTATGATGAAAGATGATGGTGGCGGTGATGACATTAATTGTGCCGATGATGATAATGCTATGATGATGGTGACGATAAAGAAAACAGTGGTGGTCAGTATAATGATAAGATGCTGGGGATGATGATGATGATGATGGTGATGATGGTGATGGTGATGATGGTGATGGTGATGGTGGTGATGATGGTGATGGTGATGATGATGATGATGATGATGATGGTGGTGATGGTGATGGTGATGATGATGGTGATGGTGATGATGATGGTGGTGATGATGATGATGATGATGATGATGATGATGATGATTATAGTGATATGTGATGACGAAGATAATTGTGGGAATGTTAAGGATGGTGAAAATTGCAATTCTAAAGATGACAATGATAATGGTTGTGAAAATAGTGTGACCATCACCATCATCACTGTCATTATCTTGAAGAATGAGGACATTAAGAACAAGGATGGCAGATGTTCTATTTAAAAAAAACATTGTGTAAGTCAGCAAAGTGACCTACCATCAAATATCTGGGCATTGCAAAAGATGCTGCTGAAATTAATACCGTTACAACACTGGGTATAACCTTGCATCTCGCAAAAAGAAGAATGGGATTCAAATTTCAACTTTTGGGGGACGATGAGGGTGGCCTCTTGGTGCATGGAGTTGTTGAACATCCGATCTGGATGCTTGCAGGAGGAAAGACGATGCGGTATGTTTGTCTATCAACAAGTTATGGACCTTTGCGTCAACTGGCCTACATGATATGTTAGGGGCTCCGGAATAGGGATGAGTCGACGACAAATAGATCAAGATACATGCATTGCGGGCAAGGACGATGGTGTTGGTGAAGATGACATTGATGATGGCAATGTTGATGATCATGATCATGATCATGATGGTGATGTTGATGTTGATGATGATGGTGATGGTGATGATGATGATGATGGTGATTATGGTGATGATAGTGATTATGATGATTATGGTGATGAAATTGGTGATGATGGTAGTGATTATGATGATGATGGTGATGAAAATGGTGATGATGATAGTGATTTTGATAATGATGGTGATTATGGTGATGATGAAGATGGTGATTATGATGATGATGGTGATGAAAATGGTGATGATGATAGTGATTATGATGATGATGGTGATGAAAATGGTGATGATAATAGTGATTTTGATGATGATGGTGATGAAAATGGTGATGATGATAGTGATTTTGATAATGATGGTGATTATGGTGATGATGAAGATGGTGATTATGATGGTGATTATGATGATGATGGTGATGAAAATGGTGATGATGATAGTGATTATGATAATAATGGTGATGTTGATGATGGTTGTGATGATGGTGATTATGATTATGGGATGATGATGATGGTGATGTTGATGATGGTTGTGATGATGGTGATGATAATGATGATGCTGGTGGAGATTGTGATATCATGAAAGAGATGACAGTATGGTTGATACTATTCTGATTGTTGCGAATCGACCCCCTGCTTATGTGTTTTCTCTTAAGTTCCTGATATTTGGTGGGACGGTGATCGAGTGCAGGTTCCAAGATAAATCTCAAAAAAATTCTTCTCTTCCACTATTTTCTATCTCTCCTTGTCCATTCTCATGATGACTCTTATTCACTCTTTGCTCTCTTCCTATTCTAAGATCTCTCTCTAACACAATCTCTGCCCCTTCTCTCTCTCTCTCTTCCTCTCTACCTCTCTCTCCTCTCTTTTTTTTTCTTCTTTCTTTCTCTCCCTCCACCCATCTCTGTTCACATTTCATTTATTGCATGTATCAGCTGATAAAAAATTTCTTGAATAGGCAACCACACCAATGTACACTCAGAAGCACTAGAGGGCGCTAGTCCACAACTTTGATTGGGCAAGTTGTAAGTTGTATCGTTCTGAAAAATAAAATCTACTGATATGAAGTCGATCAAAATATCGATGAATGGATAGGTGCCAGTATGGATAAATAAGTAGTTTGACAGATTATTAGAGAAATGGTCTGGCCTGGGAGATAAAGAGAGAAATGAAATATATCTTAATACACTTCGTAAAAACACCACTGCAAAACTACTAATCATTTTGGCAAATTTTCAGCAAAATTAAAATTGATACACAGGGTTTTAAAAAATTCCAATCACTCTATACATTATGGTTACATTGCATTAAATTTATTGCATATCTTCATGAATTATATTCAAAAATACCAAGTAAAATATATGGCTTTAAATCATGATTTTTCTGCATCTTCAAAAGATATTCAACAGTACAAAATCTTCCAGCTGAAAGGAATATATCACAAACATTAGCTAAATCAAATATTTCAAAAGTCTGTTTTCTTACAAAACGTAAACATGAAACTGAAATATGTTCTTTACATATCATGCTGCCTCAATCAAAACGTTTTTAAAAATAATGCACATAAAAGAAACCTCCTACGTGCAATCATTATACTTAGAGTTGGTGGTTGTGGGACTAGGACATCCAGGGTTCAAAACCCCTTTTGAATACTAGTGCTCATGTTTACAGCTTTTAGGCTTGAAGGTGAAGTCCATCATGATATCATATGACAATTTCAAAAATTCATAACTTTCCTATTCTTGATGAGATATTGCTCAAACTTTCACTTTTTTGTTTCACTTTTTTTTCTACTTTTAATAAAAACAAATTAATATCAGGGTGGACTTTCCCTTTAAGCCTCTATTACCTCGTCTCTTTGACGGAACTTAAAAACAACACCGTGGCTTGATTACAAAGCTAAGAGCACCATACATTTCTTCCTTTGTATCTGGAATCTTGTCCATAGATTCATACATGTCAAAAAAAAATATATATATATTAATAATCACATTTTTACGAGACACAATTTGACTTCCATAATTATTTCTATGGATTATTGACAAGAAAATAAGATATTTTAGCAAAATGCAGTTTTTCCCACAGCATTTGATTGAACTGGGCTGGGGCAGGCATGCAAAACGGTCAAATTTAATACGTTTGGTACCTGCCATGAAAAACATACATGTATAAATGCATAGTAAATTGTAAAATGTAATTATATGCAGTATGATTGATGACCTAAATCCTACGAGTATTTGATTTTGTTGTAATTATTTTTGGGAGAATGGCCCTCTAATCTAGATTCATAGCATAAGATAATATCACAAAATGATATATTTCAGATCAAAATTTAAACAATAATATAATTCTTCAAAAACTATTGCTGTCTAAACAAACTTGGCAAAGTCAAGACTTAAAACCCTTTCAGATAAAACTCAAAACAAAAATATGATTCTTTAAAATTACATAAATGAACTTTGCAAAGTAAGGGTTCAGGCAAATGAATGGCGAGGTTCATACAACATTTTGAAGTTGATGATGTATTTATAACAAACACACCAATGCTATACTGTCTTTGGTGTAATTTGAATTAACATAGCACGTTAATGTCCACACACATACACACTTGGCACATTACAAGCAAGGTACACTTACATTTTCGTATAATTGATACAGCAGCTTTGGTACATCAGCTTGGAAGCATCCATAGATCCTCATGCACACATAAATATATGTCAAAATTGATAGGCTATTTGTCCATTCCGAGATACCATTTGGTTTTCACCTGTGCTGGCTTAACCAATATGGAATAAAATAAGTAGGAAATAGCAATGATTCACAGTGATTTTTTTTCTTTTCTTTTATCAGTGCAAGGGCTAGTTTTTGGTACGTTTCATTTACTTTTAACAAAAATTATAATTTTGTTAATGTTTTGGCCCCAATCAAACTTAGCCCATATATATATATATATATATTTTTGTTGTACGTATATTTTGCATGAAATTGAATGACTGTAAAATGTATTTCACTCATGTATTTGCCTTCCATTTCATTTCAAATTTCACAAAGTGCACTCAATTAATTTCATACATTTCTTAAGAGAATTAACTTTCAGTAAGAATAGTGACCGCAGCACAAATGCACCCACAGACTGAAGGCTAGTTCTTGGCTGTCAGCTATTCTATATGAGAGATGTCCACTAGCGTCCATCCCCCTCGACCGTCTATGACGAGCTCGGCGTCATGGAAGCGTTTGAGCGTAACATGATGACCTACGCTGATCAGGGTCATCTTTGCCTCTCGACAGAGACTGTAGAGCTGGGCCTCCTTCTCACTCGGTACTGCGCTGGTTGCTTCGTCCAGCACTGCAATGGTGAGATAGAAAATAAATGATGACAATCATGATTGTCTCAAGAATACAAATTATACATATTATTTTTGTATCCATTACTATTTTTAATTTCTTTATAAAATGTTAAATTTATAGATATACATACCCTGATTAATTCTGATGTTAAAGGTAATACAAAGTTTTGGAAAATTTTGAAAATCGGCTGGATAGTGATTCTTTACAATTTTGATATATTTGGATGCCGCTGTGGATGTATTATAAGCACTAGAAAATTTAGCCCCTAAAACTCTTCCGCTTTCGAGAAAAATTGAATATAAAAAATTACCGATGCTCCCGGGAAATTTTGATGAATTTCAAATAGCGCCTACGGCTGTACAATGGTAGCTGCGACCATGAAAATCTCAGAATAAGTAGTTGTGATATATAATTTCCAAATGGGAATAGCTAATCGGTCGGTTTTAGTTGAGAAACATTGTTTTATAGCTTAATTAATATCTTGACCTTGAGAGGGAGCTATACAACATAAAGAGTTTATTATTTACAATTTCATAACTTTAGACCCGATTTCAACCGCAACAACGACCACTGAATTTGTAGGATTGCATATGCTTCCAATTTGTTAATTTGAACCAAATTCATGACCCCATACCAAAACTTTGTATTACCTTTAAAAACAATCATTTTGAAATATTGTACTCTTTAGCTTACATAATTTTATTTGATAATGTGTAAATTATTTGATTTTAGCATACCGTTATTCATTTATTTATGTATCAGACTCTAAAGTTTCTTTGACTTTGTGTACATTATTGTTATTAATCTGTTTGTATTTTTATTTAAAGGCCCGGTCACATATAGACGATGCACGGCCTGCACATTGAAAATCAGAAAAGGTTGTGCGCCCAACTTTTGTCAGGATTTGGGAGGAGCTAGCAAACTGACACCGAATGTGAGTGTGTTGCTAGTGCGCTGCGCGTATACAGGGCGTGTGCTCCACGTATGTCTGGCGTTGGTCAAGGGTCTGGGGTCCATTTGGCGTTTACATTCATGCGTTGAGCTCTGCGCACATTTTTGAGCATGCCCAAAAAATCCTGACGCACACAGTGAATGACGACCAATGCATAGCGTTGGTCCAGCGCACTCGACAAACGAGTAACGAAGGATGACGCACACCTAACGCACAACAACGCACTGGCAAATTGCAAATTTTCAATGCGCGGGCCGTGCATCCCTTACATTTATCTGTGTTTATCTGAATACATCTTGCTAGTCCCAACAACTTACATGCATCTGTAGCAAAAGTAACAAATCACAAGAAGTAACTATTATTCTGGAATTTTTCTGGAAAATTGAGTTCCATTACCAAAACTTAAACTAAGCTGCCACATGAAAAATTTGACAATATTGATCCTTCATAAATTTGATAGCCGTTTGCCTTCAGATTTTGTTGCAAGGATATCGTACTGTGCAATGGGTGTAAAGGCAATACTACTCACAAGCAAACTTGGGTCTCTGGTATAGCAGTCTTGCAAACGCCAGACACTGGGCCTCTCCAGGAGTTAACACATCGTACCAGTTCCAGGAGACCGGCGTATCTAGCCCATCACAGCGATGGACCAAGCCCTCGAGGCCTACCTGGTCCAGGATCTGGCATGGATCTGGGTCCTCATCAAGTAGACTTCTTGAAAATCTCATGGAGTTTTTGGATGGGTATGTTATCTGGAAATCAAAGAGGATCATATATAGTTGAGGTAAGAAATAATTATTTTTTTCTCCATTAGATCAAATATTCTGCTTACACAATCAGTATTTACTTACCTTGTAAGATATGATTGTGTATTCACAACATTTTTTCATCACCTCTAGTGATTAGATGAACTTCTTCAAGAATAATTAGTTGAGTTCTGGTCATGCGATTGCATTGTGAAAGAAATGTTGTGGAATCGATCAGAAAAGGTTAATCATCTAGCATGTAAGTATTGGTGTGCACTGAAAGGTTCTGGAATTATCAAAATTATAAGAAATTTGGCCCAGTCTTGGTAAACTTTCAAGCACTGTACACAGAAAGATGTATATGGGACTAGGTGATATCAATCCAAGCCAGATAGATATGATAATTTACCAAATAAATCAATTAGTAGGCAGTATCCCGGCAAATTTTGTATCATCACGTATTAGTCAAAACATACTCTTTCACATGATTGGTAATAAGAGCTTCCATTTCATGTTTTGACAGGGGGGCGTTTCCAAAACTGGTCTATACCTTTAAGGATATTTATCATTGTCAGCTTAAGTATTGTTACAACCATTGTCAGCTTTGGTTTTAGGGTTGAAGCTAGGAAATTACCACAGAGAAATTGTTGCTGGAGCATGCATTCTGCGATTGACTAAGGTATTACAAATGCAACTTCACCAAGTCATTTGAAGTATTCGTACCTGTTCCATCAACGTTCCATCCGATAGGTAAGCTTTCTGCGGTAGGAACATGATGTCCCGTGGACGTACCCCTCTCTGCTCCACCGTACCACTCATGACTGGCCACAGACCATGGAGAACACGGAGAAGTGACGTCTTACCACTCCCCGTTGAGCCTGTGATCAGGATGTTACGTCCTTCTACCACTTCTAGGGTCAAATCTGGACAAATGACGTTGATATTAAGAATACAGTACGGGTACACTTTATTCACAAGAATTCTATTTTTGTGAACTTTATGACTGGTTGCAAGGTTGTGAATTTTAACATTGTGTGAAAATGAGATGGCAATGGATGTGCAAAAATGTATTGTAAGTAGCCGAAGTTAATTATCACGAAAATAACAATTGTTAAAATAAATGTGTCGCTTTATCTGATAAATATCTGAACATGAAAATATTAGCTAATACAGTTTTGGGCTCGTATAGTCAGAGAAAAGTTAGTCAATCACAAGTCTGCTATTAACTTTGTTTTTAGGTTTCATTCTGTATTTGTATTTATACTTCATCATGATAAAGCAAATGAAGAATAATTTAAGGTTCATTGTTTCTTCTGAGCCTGCTGAATCTGGATTTCATAAAATTGTGACCTACCAGCTCCAAAACCTTTTCGGTAGTTTGTTTGTTTGTTTGATTGATTGATTGTATTTCTGAATTTTTCAACATAATAGAAAGTAGTATACAAACTAGGTACATCTATATTATTAACAAAATTCAAAATACAAATATAATCATATTGTAATATAAATCAATGCAATAACCGTACCTTTAAAAAAAAAACATAGTTAACAAATAAAAAAAAAACACTCTGCGTTTTATGCACTTCCTTTAAAGGAATAGTTGAGTTTCGTTTTCAGACCACCCATTCTCTTCAAAGTGCATGGTTATCGCTCTTATTTTTAACTATGACATTTCTAGTGCCTTTTTAGGACCTAAAATTGCTATGAAGCTAATTTAGACCCCAAAATGTGTGAAATTTAGCCAATACGATCATACCAATTCAGCTCCAATTTCAAAAAAATATGGTAACTGTTAATTACTTAATTAATTAAAAATAACAATACATGGGCCGGCTGGTTGTGCGAAATATAACCAAAACAAAAAAGCCAACATCAGCATTGGCTGAAATACAACGTAAAAGGCGTTATTTTGTGTTTTCAACGGCTTTTTCAAATTATATAATATTTGTGGTGGTACACAAATAGTAGAGATCTTTTTTTTTTCTTTCTCCATATTTATGGATATTTCAGCCGTCTCTGAACCGATTTTGATCAAACAAAGATGATTTTGTCATTTAAATTGTATTTTCTTTCAAATTTGACACTCAGTTTTTCACTATCTCACAAAAAAATTATTTTGTGTAGCGCCCTCTGCAACAGAACTCAACTATCCCTTTAAGTTTCGAGCAAGTTTTCAAGTCCCAGAATATTAGATATCAATACGCCTCTGGAAATGAAAACATTAAAAACCCTTTTGAGTTTCATCTATCTTCACAAACCTTTGATGAGGATGTCCTCCTTGGATGGAGTCGCCACGGCAACCTGGTCCAGCTGGAATGCAATCAGACTATCCACGCTGCTAACCTCCTCCTCCTCCTCCTCCCTTCTGGTAAGCCCCTCCCTAGCATCCTCCGACAGGTATTCCCTGTCCCGGTCCATCTCCGAGATGAGGAAGTGGGTGTCAGAGGTCATGGTCGGGGTCATGTCGCTGTCGGGATCGAGATGGAGGATGTTTCGTCGCGATGATTCATCCGTTTCAGGAGACTTCTTGGTGTTGGGCGACAGCTCTTCTAAGCTTTCGAGAAGCTCCCCAATCCTGATAGAGAAAATGGTATGGAGGAGATGTATGAAGATATGAAGTCACCCAGAATGTAGCCTGTAGATCTGTTCACTACTGATTTACACCTGTAAACATGTTGCAGTATCATGATGAATATTAACCATTCCTGATTAATGGAGCTTACAAAAAAAATTCATTTTACTAAGTCTAAATCACTCTTGTTATCTTTACATTGTCTTTAATATCTTGTCTATATTTCTATCTCTGTCTGTCTCTCTTTCTGCTTAGTAATTTTCCCTTCTAACCTCATGTCAAAAAGCCTTTCAATTCATCAATGGGTTTATAAGGCGCCGCTCAGCACGCTCCACAAGAGACAACAACTAGATGTCTATCCGAAATTTGTTTCACTGAAGAAATGCCCAAAACATGCAAGGAAACCAAGGGGCAAGTGGGGGAAAAGGAGCCTGGGCTGTGTGGAGGAGGCAGGGGGAAGGACAGAGGCAAGGCAGACCTCACCAGGGTCTCCCCCCCCCCCCCCAGAGGGGAAAGAGGCAGCTGCAAGCCCAGGCAGCCAATGCAGAAGACGACTCGGATAGCGACATGGAGGACAGGGACAGCCACTTTGGGGCGGATGAGGACCTAGCTACATTGCAGCCAACAGTCACTCAGCTCCAGCAGGACCTTAACAGATCAAAGAAGAGAAGACAGCCCAGTTCTTTGAGGACAACACATTCTTTTATGACATGGGGGACAACGACTACAAGAATAAGGTGAAGAGGAGACAGCTGCTGGGGGAGCTGGCCAAGTCTCTTGGGTTCAAAGGTAAGTTTTTAAAAATTTTAAACTTTTCTTTACCATTCGTTTTTGCATTCAAATGTACATTTTTTGGTCATGTATATTTTCCTGTGCTTTGAAATGTACTTTTTTTATAAGGTTTCCTGTGGTTTTGTGTGCAGCCGAGATGGCTGACAAGTTTTACAAGAGCTTCCGCAACATCCAGACATATCAGACTATCAAAAGCTGAGAGAGAGGGAGGCCAAGGGCAAGTCCGTCTCCAGCTCCTCCAAACCCTTCCCCCTCCAACAGTGGAAGCTAAAGAGATACGCTCTCCTCCAGCCATTCTACCGTGGCAACAAGAAGCTACAAGCTAAGATTTTTAATAGGTTCCTCACATTTCACTCTGTATAACCTTCTATTCATTACAATTAATTTTGACGTCTTTTCAAAGAATTAATTATGTAATGTGACACTTTTTGTATATTTCATATTATGTTCTATTTTTGTCAATTATGTAAATTCTTTTTATTTGTGAAATGTGAAATAAACTTGAAACTTGAAACTTGAACGTCTTCCTACGTCCTTGGTTCGGTAAACATCTGCAAGGATTAGTCTGTCTTCATACTTTGTCTTCTTGCCTTGTTGCCTTGTTGCCTTGCACTCTTACCATTTGGTTATATATATTTTGCTGTATTTGACATGGAGATTTACATTTTTGGACCTATCCTTGTTTATGATTCTGATTCCGCAGCCAGAGACTTCAGACAACCAGGATTCAGACTTGGAGAGCTTGGCCAGGAGGCCAGACATTAGCTCTGTCTCTCTCTCTCCCCCATGAAGCCATCCAGGAAGGCGAAGGACAAGAACTTGACAGAAGTCCTGGTCAACCTCATGTCGGAGAGCAAGCAGGAACTAAAGGAGTCCCAGGCTGCGCTGGTTCAGGTGCGGTTGTACGTTACATAACATTTATTATGCTACAACTAAGTCTTCCATTTATACAATTGAAGTTATTCTTTCTTTTTTACACCAAGTCTCATTAAATGTATATTGTTTGTTGTTTATGTTTTAGGCGAGCGGCACATCCCAACCCACAAACACTGCCATGAGCCAAACAGAAGCGTGGACGCAGGGGATGGTCAGCGTCCACCACAACATCCCCAAACACCTGTGGCATCAGTACCAGTCTGAAGCTTTTGCCCTTGTCATGAAGTATGTGGCACGGCCCAGCAGCAGCAGCAACAGCCCCAGCACATCTACGCTCAACAGGCCCAGCCCAAGTACTATACGCCTCCCCGGCCTGCTCAGCCAATCCAGCAGCAATTCTACCCTCCGCAACATCAGCAGCATGTGGTCCACTCAACACACCAAAGGCTACAAAGCCTGAGGAGCAGGCACAACCAGCTCGGAACTCCGACTCAGACTAGTAGATAGTGAACTTTGTGATCTGTTTTATAGTCAGGTGGACTGTAGACTGTGATCTTTGTGGCAGTTATGTTGACTGTGTAGTATGATATGATGTTAGAGATGAAAAATAGAAGTTTTGATTGTTATGTTGACTTGTTATATGGTTTCATTGTTTATTTTATAAGTACATGTACAATCTTAGCTTCTATTTAATTCCTATTTTCTACTTTATATCTTGGGTTTTCTTTTACAACTGAGGTTGATAGTTTGTAATGTAATTCTTTACTTTGCAATTTTACTTTACCTTACAAAAAAGGAGTAAAGGTTTTTTTTCTCACCTGTGAGTATAGCCACCTATATCAGAGATCTTGGTGGAGAGATCAATCAACTTTGAGAAACAGCTGATCAGGTACATGGTCTGGAAGGAATACTGGGAACAAAGAGAAAGTAATGAAGACAACGTTATTACTGCTGGTGTATACAATTGATGGAAATTGACGCTGATGGAGAAAGAGAGGGAAATAAAAAGAAATGTAAGAAAGAGTTGGTTATGATGTGATTGAAGTAAATGTATATTTATTTTATGATTATGACGATGATGATGATGATGATGAAAAAATGATAATGTTAGTGATAGTAATGATGGTGATGATGGTGGTGGTGGTGGTGGTGGTGGTGAGGGTGGTGGTGGTGTTGGTGGTAATGATTATGATCATGATGATGCTGATGGTCATAATGGTGTTGATGATCATGATCATGATGATGGTGATGATGGTGGTAAAGACGATGATGGCGTTGTTGATGATCATGTCAATGATGATGACAATTATATTCATGATAATCATGGTGATGATGATGATGATGATGTTGGTAATGGTGATAATGATAATGGTGATGTGATGATGGTGATGATAATGATGATGGTGATGATGACTATGAAAATGATGCAAATAATGGATGAAAATTAAGATGCTGCAGTTATTGCTCAGTATGTTTACAATACTGATGATCATTACACTGATGATGACAAGATAATCACAAGTGTGATACTAACAATACTATGGAAAGATGAATACCGGTAGATGACAACAACAACCAAGCTGGTGATGATAAGACTAATGATAATTTACAAGCAAGAAAGAAATTATGACGAAGGAGATGGCCTTTCTACTTACAGCACTGATAAGACCCGATATCTCTGAAGCAGGAACCCCATTGTAGACTCCAGCAAATATTGGTATAGCAATAATGACGTAACTCAGAATACTGCCAAGGTAATCAAACAGATTTACAGCAACTGAAATTAAAAAAACACAATAACAAACAATTAATTAAAATGCAAATTGTTGAAAATACTTGATTTGCCAAGCATTTAATTCCTGTTTATATCTTCATCAGGCATGCGTTTTTTGGGGAAATATTTGTAAGCCAGACATCAGCATCTCTTCTTTCTTTGAATGTTTGAAGAAAAAAAAAAATCAGAACTATATTGAGATATGATATTGATCGACTTGAACTTAAGTTGTTGTTTTGTTTGGACATGGTTCCTTTCCATGTAAGAATAACTAAACATCAGCATCTCTTCTTCCCTTGAAAGATAACCATTTTCCCCAGAACTATACTAAAGTAATAATGCAGTTCATTGATCTACTTGAATTTAGGTTGTTATTTTTCATACCGGGTACAGGGTTCCTTTCCATGCAGGAATAACTAACTGTCCTTAAAAGAATATCCTATTAGGTATTAAATTCTTGCACTATCTTCTCATCATGAAACATACAAAGAACACATTAATTGATAACATTGGCTGACCAATACAGCTACCCACCATTGAGCCAGAACTCCCAGTTGGTCAGTGTCAGCTGGACATCCACAAGACTGAAGAGCTTGCGGTCAGCGTTGTCTTTTTCCACTCCACCAGCTGAGTAGAAGGCTACCGATTCTGAGTTGGCCCTCAGCTGGGCATGCTTGAACCTGATGAAGAAAGGTGAACATCATCTCCTATTTCATCCCAAACATACCACCAACTCATCAATACAAAGTTTTGGGTCAATACATTATACATTCAAGCTACTGTGATAACCTGTGTATAACAGACTACTCAGTGGAGAAAAGAAAAGTGACAAGTCCACAGGTTGTCATTATGTACAGGAGCCTTTAATACATATTTTCAAATAGAAATACTGTCCACAGACAACAACAAAATATGGCTGTATATTGAATTATCTGTAAGCCTTGAAGCTACAACAAAATACATTGGGCCAAACAGAAACAAACAGTGACTAGGAGAAGGCAAGATATAGATGCATCAAAACAACCAAAGTCATGTCTTTACTATTGTTTTGATCAGTACAACAATATATTTTTCTAAGATGACACACTACGTTTAAATAATTTCCCTATATAATCGTAAGTCCAATTAATCAACAATTGATGGGCAAGTCCAAACTACTTTGTCCTATACGTTACTTACCACATCTAAGATATTAGTAAAACATCTTATCATTGTCTGACGTTAATAGCCCACCTAGAGTTTGAGTCAGACCAAATATAACGTGGAATGCCACATTTAATGTTAAGTGATGATCAAAACTCCACAATACTTGGTAAATAATGGGACTCCAAATGACTAAATACCTTGGACTTGCCCAGGTCATGTGAATTGACTACTGACAGACATACCTGAATATCCCTTCTTGTTTCTCTTGCTGGTAGGTTAGATTGACCACCGGTGACATGATGAATTTATTGATGACACTACCAACGATGAAATAACAATAGATGACCAGAGGCCCTAGGTAGCCGGTGCTGCAAAAGGACAAGAGGGAAACGATTTATTCCTGAAGTCCAAAACAGTGTATATTTTGTTCAAAAATATGAAATTGTTTCTATTGGCTCACATTGTCTTGTGAATATATCATAACGATAACAATCATCAGCATCAATGCTCTTATTTCTGAAGGCCCTGTAATTATTACTACAGAATTTGTCAGGTACCCATTAATACACCCACCTAGGTGGAGAGTGGTAATGTCACGGGTTGTTAGTATTGGGCTGAGTCTTGAACTCTCAACCCTATGACTGAGAGTCAAGTGAATGAACCACTATACCATGACACTGTCAAAACTGTTATTGTCCAAGTGGCTCAAAGAGTAAACTATATCATAATTGCTACAAGGAAAATGTGCAAATACCTGGTATAGATTCAATTGGGTTGGATTGAAGAGGAAGAGGAACAAGGAGTGAGTTGAAGAAAAAAAAGCAACAGCGAAAAAAAGTAGAGGGGGTGAACAATATTGAGATTGAGAATAGACTAGAAAATAAAAAAGATGAAAAGGAAGAAGAAATGAAAAAAGAAAAGAAGGCCAAACTGAAACAAAAAGGAAAGAAAATTAGAAGGAGAAGGAAGGAAAATAAGTAAGGAAATAATGAAGTCAGAGATAACGAGAAATGGTTTATAAATGACAAAGAGGGAGAGTTGCGAAAGCTAACAACTTTATCTCTTCCGACTTACATTTCATATGTGAGATAGGTGTAAGTAGCAATAGTGAATGGTGACACGATAAGGGTTGGGACAACCAGACTCAGTTGATTACATAACCTCTCCACATCCTGGGTGATACGCTGATCTCTGATTGAAAAAAAATATGGAAAGACGATATGGAAACAATGTATATCCCTACGATACTATACTAATAAATTTCAGAGAATTTACCTTGAATGAGCTTTCAAGAGTCAAATTTTTAGCTTTTAATTCACTACTTCGTTGTCTGAATAGGCCTTCAATATCTTCTTTGGTATTCTTTACAATACTGGAATTGTTCTGTTTCAGGAAAAAAATCTATCTATCTTGGCAGTATTTTTCTCAATAAAAAGTAAACCAGTACTGTTGCCTGGCAATAAATTCAGCATCCTTGATCCAATACATAATAGTGCATGGCCCTTGGCTCTAGAACAACATGTTAATAAAATAAATAAGCCATACAACTAAGACTTCAAAAATACATTCATTCATATGATTGAATATATATCTCTCTCAGCAGAGACAATTATATTCATCCAAACTTTCTATATTTCTTACTACCAAATGAACCATTTCCTCCTGTTTTATTCTCATTTAAAAATAATCATGTTGTGAAATGTTTGAGAACAGTATCATTATCAGTAATGAAAAGATTAAATCTGAACACTGTGGCCTGTATTCTACTAATGTTTAAACCTAACGATAGGTTAAGGCTTTGGTCCAAAATCAAATTTAACAAAGGAAGTTAGTCTGAAGTCTAAGTTTTCCTTTTGTTAAACACGATTTTAGAACCCAGTGTCAGTTTTAACTGCATAGGTAGGATTCAGACCTTCATGTATGTACTTACGTGTTATCGACGTTGCCCGTTTGCAAGACATTGAGTTTGTAGTAATTAAAAGCCTTGAAGTAGAGTTTATGAAGATGTGCTGTCATTGCTTCTCTCCATCTTACATACAATAGCTTGCTGATGTACGTCTTGGCACTCTTTATCTGAAGTATAGAAGTAGACAAGTAAGAAAATGTAACATCAAACAAAAAATGTTGAACAGAGATCAATTTCTTTTTTCTTCACTATCATTGTATCATTAATCATCACTATCAACAAAAAAAGAAATACAGTATAAATGATTGTATGAAATTAGAGGAATAGAGACAAGCCCAGGCCATGTTTTATTATAGATGATGCAGGGCTGGTCTGAGAATTGTAGCCTCCTTTCCCATTACCTTGCTCATTTATCTCATACTTTTGAAGAAGAAAACTAATTTAGGTTTCTTTTTTTTTCTTTCAATCTTGTTGATGATAAAGATTTGGACCTATTTGACATTATATATTATCACATATTTATGTTATTCCAGTGGTAAGGAGTGGTACACAAATGTTACCTGTCAAGAAAGACTGTTTTTCAATTGTAAGGGGGGGGGGGGCCATTCCCACAACATTTATTTGTATATCTATTTCCTCCCCTGAAACAGTAGCAGGTATTTTAAAGGAGAAATTTCACATCCATCCATAAAATATCTTATGCCACATAAAATTTTTCTTAATGACTGCCATGAGTTAGTATGTGCAGTTAGACTTGCTTACCAGAGAAATCAGTACAATGTAGAGCAGAGATTGCCATAGGACTGTAAGGAAACCAGACCAGTCTTTAGCAGGGAGAACCACGTAGAATTGACTGGGGATCAAGCCTACAAAGTAAGCTGCACCTTGTTCTGTAAACAACAAAAAAGGAGAATAAATCCTGATCAGGGCCCTGTTCCATCAAGCTGGTTATCAATAACAAGTTTCAATAACTGTTATAAGCTACTGAAATGGTGGCATCCGATTGGCTGAGAGCTACTTAGTTGTCATAGAATTTTAGCATTTGTGATCGATAGGCCTGAGTCATGTCGGGATTTTCATAAACCGGGTCCCGACGGCGTTGCACCGATCGGGACCCGGTGTCCCGAAATCAGCTCGCAGGATTTGTCACTTGCCTCTATAAAAAGCGCATATCATCAGTATGTTCCTTAAAAGTGACCTTTTTTATCAATCAAATAAATCAACACATGCATACCTCGGCTCAGATCGGTATATTCTTCCATTTGACATTATTTTCATCCATGATTGGCGATGTTTAGTGCCATTATCGTGCCTCTAAAAGTAAAAAAACTGGGGCAGAAATGGAAAGACAACATTCGAGCCGCCATTTTGATTTATGCAGGTTGAATAAATCTGGTCAAAAAATATGAATGTTAGGATAATAAAACGGCTTTCTAAAAAATTCTTCTGTACAATATACCGATCATATAATATTTTAAAGACAAAATAAATATTTATCTCTTATTTTAAACATCGCATGCTTTTTTTTAAAAGCTGAAAATTACTTGGTAATCACAAGAAGTTTCGATACGGATAGCTGTTGCAAGGCAAGTTGAGACTAGTCTCGGAAAAATGCGCAGTGCTCCTCGTAATTAGCTGTAATGTGTGCCAGAACGAACCCAAACAAAGACGTGATCGTTACGAGAAAAAAATCATTAAAAACTACGAGAGCACAATTGGAAAGACAACTACTGCTCAAAATTACCATAATCAGATACATAACTTGGACAAAAACATAATAATCGCCCAAGAAATGCCACAGAAATTGTGATAATCGAGGAGTAACTGCGTACATTTTTATCGCAAGGGGCCTGCTGCAAATACTCGAATCCTTCGTTATACTGCTTTTTACCGTAGAGGGCCTTATTTGGTTTCTAGCCTCGTGTTCAATTTAAACACGTGTAATTTGGATATCGCAGCAGCTAGGCCCTTCCGATAATGATTGTACCTACATGTATAGTAACTCCTTAAATATCACTATTTATGTGGCTTTTCTTGGACAATTAACTATTGTACGATAATTTTGAGTAGTTGTCTTTCCAATTGTGCTCTCGTAGTTTTTAATGATTTTTTTCTCGTTACGATCACGTCTTTGTTCGGGTTCGTTCTGGCACGCATTACAGCTAACGAGGTGCACTGCGCATTTTTCCAAGACTAGTCTGAACTTGCCTTGCAACAGCTATCCGTATCGAAACTTCTTGTGATTACCAAGTAATTTTCAGCTTTTTAAAGAAGCATGCGGTGTTCAAAATAAAAGAAAAAAATATCTATTTTGTCTTTTAAAAATTGTTTGATCGGTATGTTGTAAAGAAGTACTTTTTAGAAAACAGTTTTATTATTCAAACATTAATGTTTCTTTCAACCTGATTTATTAATCCTGCCGAGAGACCCGGCCAGTACAGTAGCTAGCTAGCAGTAGCTAGCTAGCAGCTAGCTGGCAACAACAACCCCATGGGGCGAACTGCTTTGCAACCCATATTTATATCAGCAGTTCGGATTGATTCAGGATGAGCTAGAATATGATTGGTAACAATTAAATACTTAAGTTTTAAGGTGGATTGATTTTAGTGGTGTGCAAAACTGCAATTTCTTACATATTTCATTATTTTTTTCGGAGCGTCGGTTCTCAAAAAACGAAACCGGGACCCGACGGCAACGGTCAGGTCACGGTGTGATCGACCGTACCGACTCAAGCCTAGTGATCGATAACAAGTTTTATGAAACAGGGTCCTGGTTAAGGTTTCAATCAACACCAATGATATGACTTTCAAGAAGTAATATTGGATTCTATGACAAAGTTAACTTGGCACTATGGACATGGACAACTCGAATACAGCATAAACCCAAGCAAAATTATCAAGAAAGCTGAAATTGATTGCAAAATCTTGCAATGAATCTTTGCACTGAGCACGTATTTTTAAGCATTTACATAGACGATGATTCAAATGGAATGTGTGGAAAAGTTATTGAGGAGCAAAGTACCAAGTAGTAGAAAATATAAAATGTAAGGCTATCTAAAGATCTATCATTTAGAGCCATGGCAGTCAAATGCCTTGTTTGCCCTAGAGCTGAGCTAGCCTGATGCCCTAGATGGCATTTCACATTGTGTACTTCTTGCATCAGGTACCACAGTAGTTGCTAAATTAAAGTTTACATTAAATTAGAACAATTCAAAATTCAAACCAATTTCTCTCAGTTTTTTATTTTAAAAAAAAGGCTCTTTACTTTTAGATAAGGTTCAGAGGCAAAATTGTATCATCCTCAGGAAACTTTTATCTCATATGGAGGAGAAAACGGTTCGTCTCTGAAACTTATAATACATTTAAAAGTCTTTCCTTAACCCATTGCCTACAGGGAGCAGGTGGTCCCTGTATAAAGCCTATGAGAACGCAAGAATTCAGTACTCAACAGGTTAATAACTTAACTTTAAACTGTTGTGATGGACTTTTGACCCTCCTTCCTTCCTCTCATGCAATCAAGTGCATTGTCAGAACTCAAGATAAGCATTTTAGGCATTGTTTAACAATGTTTCCAGTTGATCTGGCCCTACATATTATCAGTGTCTGTGATATGGTGAATATTGAAGCCCTAAAAAAAATGCGCTTCAAAATGATCACGAAGTGCCTCAACTTTTCTTCTCTTTGAGTGACCGGTTTTACCATACTCATTTTCCCCAATAGACTGTAGAGTTATAAAAACAGTTGGGAAAACGGTTTTTTGAAATTTCAATCATAAATATCTTGATAATCAGACAGGCTTGTAAAAGTCATGGGATTCCTGACTGACCTACATGTAAAGGTTTATAATTATGATTGCAGCATGAGCTAAATCCAGGATTTTTTTTAGAATCTGAAGCAAAGATACCCAATCCCTATAAAAGTTTGTTCACCAATCTTGCTTACCTCCACCTGCGATCAGTAGTAGCAGGAAGAAGAGAATTGTCTGAGCAGACTTCCATGACAGGAAGAGGACGGGCAGAAGATGACAGAGTCTCTTCATAAACACCATATCTAGCTTGTACCTTTTAAAAAAATGACAAAAAGGGTAAGATTCTTGAAGATAAACATTTATTTAATGAGATAGTAAACATGATGGCCTGTATTTGACTAAAGTTTAAACCAGTTGCTGGGTTGAAGATTTTGTCAAACATCAGGATTATCAATATTACAATGTTAGTCTGAGGTCTAACTATTCATTTTGACGAATTCGTGATTTTAGACCAAAGGTTGCATTTAAATGAATTAGTACAACATAAACCAATGACTTTTTAGTTCATCAGAAAAGAAAGTTCAATGGAGTATTTCTTTTGTAGGCCATACACTTGTCATTATATAAATATAGATTCAAGTACAGGCATTTATTATGTGTAGCATGATTTAAAGGAATGTCTACTCTGATATTAATACAAGAAATGGATCAGGGAAAGTTTGAAGAAAATCTGATACATCAATGATAAATGATAATGTCAATGATATGTATTTCAAAATTGGCAACTCAATTGCACATACACTTTGTGAGGACTTCTCCCAATACTCCCATAATAAAAAATAATAATTATATTTAAAAAATCCCAGATTTCCATTGTTATCATAAGAAAAAATATATTTATGATATCAGTGTCAAATGTGGTTACTGAGGGAGTTAGATCTAGGCCAATCAGCTAATTACTCACTGGGGGAGAATTAGACCGAATTTTCCGTCTCTTTCGTTCGTTAGCCTCTTATTGGGGTAGGGTCGGCCGGCTCACTCTTTAGAGACGGAAACCGTCTATACACATTCCCTTGATAACGCCACGGCCATTTCAGGTCGTAGCGTTTTGCCCCCAAAATCCCCCAAAATGTCATTTTACCTCGTGTATATCCAAATGTAAATTAGGCCTAGGCTATAATACATCGGTTCCACTTACTAACTTGATTGAAACAATCCGTTTAATGGTCCCTTTTAAGGAAATTATGGGTCAAAATCGACATCCATGTTGAAAATCTTGCAAGCCGGGTTAAACTCTCGCTGCCGGAGTCATCTAAATCAATCTCATCCCTTCTAGTCTACGCCGAAGGCAAAATGATTATGAAGGAAAAACTGTGCGCCATCTACACGTTCGTAATGGCGTTATCACAGTTTTTCCTTCATAATCATTTTTGCCTTCGGCGTAGACTAGAAGGGATGAGATTGATTTAGATGACTCGGTTTCCGTCTCTAAAGAGAGAGCCGGCCGACCCTACCCCAATAAGAGGCTAACGAACGAAAGAGACAGAAAATTCGGTCTAGGGGAGAATGAACCCGAGGAATCGGGATCACAGACTCACAGTGATCGAATCATTCACTTCACTTTTTTCCTTCCAGTCACTGACACTGGTGAAGCCAAATACTCTAAATGATAATAACATAAGTGACAGACAGAAATCGAGTCGAGATCTAAGTTGTAGTGGCACATTGCTGTTTGCTTTTATGATAACAAAAAGTGGGCATAGCCACAGCTCAGCCAGGGCGCAGACTGGCCGCCGCGGCCCTGCCTATGCCGCGATCAAGTTTACGCTCGTACGCGGGTGCAGATCATGGTGCAGATTCGACTCTTTTCGAGATCTTCAATTTTGTTGATTAAGTAAGAGAATTGTGTTCAAAATCACTTGAATTCAATGAAATGGGAAAACATAACAATACCTCTTCGAAACAGTGGACATCTCCTTAGGCCTTCTGCAGCATGAAACAACCATCGCACAAATTTAGGAGGATTTCTCAGTTAGGATCACTGCATTTGCTTGTCCATCATTAACATCATCACACACGCTATGGAAATGTAGACTTCTTCCTGACGTTGAGAAATATTTTATTACATAAAATTGTGTAATATTTCTTTATAATCATCAAAATGAACAAAATGTTAATATTTGATAGTATTCCAATAAATTAAATATACTTAAATCATTTTCATATAGATGATTGATGCAAATTTCTCAAGTTATTTTCAAAAAGAGAAGATGGTATCTCCAGAATTAAGACTACAGAAGAGAGGTTATGCAATAGGTCGAGAGCTACATAGACTAGCACAGATATAGCAAGGTAAATTGCTAGTTTTTACAAATTATCGAACGGTCCTAAATTACTTACAACCTATCAGTTCAGTAGTACAGCTATATATCAATTAGTTCAAATATGAGATAAACAGCTGTAAAAACAATTGCTCCGCATTGTTTCCTGCTCTCATTGACACTGACTGACTGAGTGAGTGCTCAAGTCAGATTCTTCGATTGGATTCCCGTTCTTGACTTGAGGAGCGTCTTCGAGGGTTCTGTTAACGTTCTGTTGCTGAAGCCTCAACATGCCTTCTCATCTTGTCATATCATCAATGGTCACTGTCACCGCCGGAGCCTTGGCCCTGCTTTCCTTCTATTTATACAAAAGAAAGTAAGTCCATGAAGAAGTGAAGTTGTATCTGAAGCTAGATCGAATTGAAGTAATGTCAAATGACAGATTGATTGAGAGGGACGAGGGGGGGGGGGGGGGTCTTCAAGGTCCCAGGGTAGTGTTTAATTAAACTCTCATTAAGTAGTAATCAGTGTCAATTGTTGAAAAGCTGAAGCGGGGTAAATTTTAACTTGTTTTGTTGACCATATTTTTGATGTCGAGTCTTCAAAGGCAATATCATTCATGTGTATTATGCCTGATTTCATACATAAGTATACAGTACTTGGTAAATATATGAATAACAGATAAGCAAATTATATAAATTTTCTGATTGATTGAACGAACAAAAATATCTGACAAACCTACTGTATAATTTCACAAACTAGTGTATTTCAACACTGCATCTTTGCAACCTTCCACATTTCTTTTTCATTCACACAAACAGCTTAGTCAGGAGTTCATAAAACTGTTGATAGAACTCTATACATATATTTATCTTTACCCCCCCCCCCCCCCCACTTTTCCCTTTTATTTGTATATATTATTTGTTGTTGTTGTTGTCTATTTACTGCCAGATGTAGGAGTATATCGGCATCAACGGATAAGATGAAAGAAGATATCTACCAGCCTGTCACAGATGTTGAGCACTACGACATATTTGTCATTGATTCATCAAGCGCTTATCACGAGGCTGTAGAGAGCTTTGCAGAAGCTACCAAACAGATGAAGGTATATGAATTTTTTGTTCATCCTTTTTTCTCAGTTATTGTTTAGAGCTCATGTAATGAAAATACATTGTTTGGACATTCCAGCCGCAAGTGATCTATCAATACATGAGCCCACCATGATTAGCTGTATCTATAATTTCAGGATTTTGTTCTTCTTCCAATGCAGGGAAGTGAATTTTTTAAAAGATTTTAATGTCTACCTTGAAGTTGAATGTATGAGAAATTACGCGATATGACTCATCGGTTAGAGGAAAGGATTTGATCCTGATTGATACTGTCCCTCTGATAGGATTTTAAGTCATTTGCTCCACGGACTTACATGTAGCTTAAAGCCCCACTTCACTACTTAAAGCTACGTACGCCCTCTATATAGCAAACAATGCCTAATTGGTGCCTGTTTGTCCCCCATGATCCTCTTTCTTATGTTAATTGAGAGCTGATTTGATGAGACACCTGTCAGTGACCGTGCATAGAGGTTTAATCCCTCCTGGCCAAACTAGACGTGCGGTGGGGCTTTAAAGAATACCTGCTTCATAAGCAGTCAAATAATCAATCTGAAAGCCAAAGAAGGTGGACAGGAACTACTGTACATGAGTGACCTTTCACCCCTGTGCTATGGATTGACCCATTATATTCATGTCCCATTGATTCCCAGGTTATAGGTCTGGACTGTGAATGGGTGACCAAAGATGGTCAGAGGCAACCCGTGGCACTCCTGCAGCTCTCCTCCCCTGTAAACCAATCCTGCCTCCTGTTCCGTCTCGACCAGCTGGATGGAGAACTTCCAGAGAGTATCCTCACCATCCTCCAAGATCGCAAGTAAGATTTAAAGGGATTGGGTAACTTTGTCTCAGATTCTGAAAACAAAATCCTGGATTTAGCTCATGCTGCAATGATAGGAACCCCATGACTTTTACAAGCCGATCGCCTGTCTGATTATCAAGATACTTATTATTGGAAATCGAAACCAAATTTTTCGTTTTGATAACACTACAGTCTATTGAGGAAAACGAGTATGGTAAAACCGGTCACTCAAAGATTTTTACCTTTTTGAGGCACTTCTTGATCTTTTTGAAGCGCAATTTTGTTGTGGCTTCAATACCATATCACAGACACTGATAACATGTAGGGCCGTGCAGTTCAGATTTAACATTGTTAAAAGTTTGGCATGATAGGGATGGTGTCGTGAGGCTGCTGCCAAATGGTGCTTACAGAAATGACACTGGGTGATGACCTCTCATTCAATATAGCCTGCATATATATAGTCAGCAAACCTTATGTCTCACAGCAGAGGAAACAAATATTGCTGCTCAAATTTTCACTTCATTTTCCAAATTTCTTGAATATATCGAAAAAGCTGTTCACCAAAGGAAATAATTTAAAGTGAGATTCTAATTTTCATCTATTTGATCTCGTCATTTTGGTGCTCATGGGCTTCTCCAAGCATTACCATCTGACATTTTCAGAGAACTTTCAATAATGAAGAAAGAATATTATAGGCATTCTGAAAACAAGCAACAAATTAATGATATTAAATATAAACTTATAGGAGTTACATGTGCTTTCACAAACGTTGAATTTTGAATAACTTTGTTACAGAATGACAAAAACATGACCTACATATAAAGTTAACAACTAATTGTTCATACCCCTTGTAAACTTTATGTTTTTTTTGTTGTAACTCCAGTAATAAAGGTGGACTGGTTGAAATAGGTCCTTTGTTGTATATTTTAGATTCTGTAACAAACCTGTATATTTTGCTTTTTCTGCAGCTTCTTGCTAAATGAATGACTATACTGGAGTGTTAACACAATCATATTTTGTTCTCTGTTTTGATAGCACATTGAAGGTTGGTGTGGGAGTGATTGACGATGCTAAGCGCCTTCTCAACGACTACCAAATCATCACCCACGGATGCCTGGACCTACGCCACCTTGCACTGCGACACCTGTCTCGGACCTTGAGAGGGCGCTCCCTTAGTTTACGGGAACTGGCCAGCGTCGTCCTACAACACGAAATGTCAAAGGATGATAGGGTGCGCTGTGGCGATTGGGAAGCAGTGCCATTGTCTAAGGAACAAATCAATTATGCTGTGGACGATGCAGTTATCGGGGCGGCCATATTCTTACGAGTCGTTGCCTACAAGATGAAATTAAAACAGTTCGAGTCATTCCTTCAACCAGAAACATGGAAGAGCATTTCGTCCATGTGTCAAGGAATCATTGACATGTACCCTGATATGAAACAGCTCACAACAACGAACTCGTCTCCGAAGAAAGCAACGAAAAACTCAAAAGGCGTTTTTGATAATCTTGAAGAGCGACCCCTGAGTCGAGCATATAAGACCAGGAAGTCAGTGATGTACCACAACTGCCGCCTCCTTGCACCGGACGATACGCTTCTCTGCACGTGCGACAAGAGGAAAGCGTTGTGGTACATCGGGAAGGAGATTGGGGAGCTGATATGCGAGGAGCCCTTGACGGTGAGGCTCTTGTTCGAACCTGCAGGGGTTCCAGGACCGGATAGAGAGTACTATCAGACTGAGAAGAAGAACATATGCGTAGTGTGTGGCCGGGAAGACTCCTACATCAGGAAGCATGTAGTTCCGCATGAATATAGAAGGTGAGTCTAGCCTCATTCTCTGACACATGATGTGGTCAACCACCTAAAAAAGTCTGCTGTGTTGAAATAAAAATGACTTTGGCATATTGCACTTCATATTTCTGTATGGTAGAACCCATAGATGATTTGTTAGGAAAAGACAGTTTATTCACCCCCAACTTGTCATTTGTTTGCACAGTGTTTTTGTTTTTTTCTTCACCTAGGCCATGCCGTTTATGAACAGAGATCAATGATTTTCAAATGAAGAAGTCTCAGATTGTTTGATATATATATTTACAATATGTACCAAAGTGACTTAAAATACAAAGAATATTTTTAAATAGTGATCACTTTGCTTGAAGCTCTTCAAAATATGTCTGTCTTTCACAACATTATTGAATTAAATATGACCATTATGAAATACAGTATCTACATTTTGCAGATATTGACTGGTAGGTTGTGTAATATAACATTCTTTTGGGCCGCAGAAGGGAGTTATATTTTCCACCCGCATCTCTGTATCTGTAAAAACATTGTTTAACAATGCTATATCTGAGATGAATGGCCCTACATGTTATCAGTGTCTGTCATATGGTGTAATATTGAAACCATAAAAAAAATTGTCCTTCAAAATGATCATGAAGTGCCTCAAAAAAGTAAAAATCTTTGAGTGACCGGTTTTACCACACTAATTTTCCCCAATAGACTGTAGTGCTATAAAAACCAATCATAAATATATTGATAATTGGACAGGCATTCGACTTGTAAAAGTCATGGGATTCCTGAGTGACCTGCAGGTTTATAATTATGATTGCATCATGAGCTAACTCCAGGATTTTGTTTCAGAATCTGAGGCAATGTTACAGAGTCACTTTAAGTTTTGTGATACTGGTCATCTACTTCCTTTAACAGACACTTTCCAGAGTACCTCAAGATGCATTCCTCACACGATGTCCTCCTTCTGTGTCTACGATGCCACCAGAGAAGCAGTGCATATGACAACTACGTCCGGCAGAACGTGTCTGAACTCTACCATGCTCCCATCAGTAATAAGACCAACGCCAAACGCCTTGAGGATCCTCAAAGGGTTCAGGTCCGCTCAGCTGCGAGGGCGCTAATCCGCCACCAGAAAGTGAACAACCTTCCAGAACATCGGATCCAGGAATTGATGGATCATCTCCAAGAGTTCTTCGGGGACGACGAGATAGACGATGCCCTGCTGCAAGAGGCGGTTTCCATGGAGACGAGAGTGGCCAATGAGGATTTTGTTTCGTCGCACGGTTTGAAGGTCGTGGAGGAGGTGATGAAGGAGGAGAGTGGATTGCGGAAGTTTGAGAAGATGTGGAGGCAGAACTTCCTGGATACGATGAAGCCTCAATATCTCCCGGAGTTATGGTCTGTTGATCATCTACATGAAACGTTTGCGGGCAAGAAGTGAGAAAGGCTTCAAACAGATGTACAGCAGGGGGGCAGATAAAGCCCAGGATTTTTTTTTTAGATGACGTAATCTAGACTGGACTCTAGAGGAATGTGCAATGTAATTAGTTTTTTGTTTTAATTACTTCAGAACAATTCATTCCATCAAACTACATACATGTAAATACATGTTACTTGAATAGTACTATTAATTATTATTGGTGATATGAATAATGTAAATGTTCATGTGTATTCTGTTTAGTTGTTTTGCCTGTTCAAGGATATTCTGTTTGTATTCTATCAACCATAATATGAAGTCAGTTATCTACCATCAAGCCAAAACTTCTTAGAAATGAAGTGGCATCTTGTTTATAAAGCGACTTATTTTTAATCATCATTTCATATTTTCATTTGATCATGTTCCAAATTACAAGCAATTGAATTTCAGGATGTTGTATTCATCAAAGAAAGGTTATGTTTTTAATATTTCAAATCACTGTCAAACACTTTTTGTCTTGCATTTTTTCTAGAATACAGTGTATATTCATCATTGAATTTTAAATTATTTTTGTTTACTTATCTTTTATCAACTACGTGTGACATTTAATACAAAATTGAGTGAAATTTTGAGGGATTCTTGCTGCAATACACAATGTTTTTCTTGTTCTTGATTTTAACAAGAAGCTACCTCTTGAAAAATGTAACTTCACTACAAAGATACTACATTATGTCAGGGACATGTAACAAATATATTCTGTTTGTATTTGAATTCTTTATGCAGATCATCATCACTTACAAATATGATGATGATTAGCTGATGTAATGATTGAAATGTGCCTTTTTTTTTAAAATCTTGGTATTTATGCCATTTCTCAAAAGTATGTAGGTTGATGTGGGAGAAAAAAAAAACTTGAGGATTGATTAATAAAAGGAGAGTGGCTAGATTTCTCACAAAATGTTTTGAAAGAAAGACCGTTTTATCTATATCCTTGAAAAATGAAAAATGTAAGGATAGTTAAAGGAGATGAGGGAGAGTTGGATGAGAATTGGACTGAGATGGACACTTTTGAAGATGAAGAGGTTTGATGTAGATTGTACAAGTGAAACGGGGGGGGGGGGGGGGGGGGGGGGGGGGGGGGGGAGGGGGGAGGGGGGGGGAGGGGGGAGGGGGGGGAGCATACATGTACACTGCTGCAGAGATCGGAATGTTATGAGAAAGAGTGTAGAAAAGGAGTGAGAGAGTGACAGTGAGGAAAAGATTGAGAGAGATAGAGGGTGGTAATGGTAGAGAATGTGAAGGACTAGATAAAGAGCAAGGAAGACAAGGGGGAGGGGAGGAGAGAAAAGGGAGAAACAGTGACTGAGAGAGAGGGAGAGAGAATTTCTTTTACTTGTCTTCTGTCATGTGTAAAGTCCCTTATACAGTCAAACCTGTCTATAGCGACCGCCCAAGGGAAACACAAAAAGTAGTCTTTGTAGACAGGTAGTCTTTGTAACTAAAGCAGGTTCGACTGTATATATATTTGTGTACCTTGATTTTCCATTTTGGGCGGTATTCAAGAAATTGTATCGACCCTGTTATCATTTCTTCAGTCACAAAACCCCAAGGTCATGCACTCACACTCATTTGTTATGCATTTAACAATTCATAAACATTTTCATTCAAAATGGAATGGCTCCGCAACACTCAACAAAACACTAACTTGAGTATAAAATTCCAGACCTGACCACTCAAAGCAGAAATACACAGCCTATTACAAGGCTACAAGCTATAATGTTTGTTTATTCAACAAATTATGATAAGAAAAAATATGTTTTGACAGTTGAGACAGCATTGCTTACAAATTCATAATTATTACCGGTATGTTCTTTTATTCATGTACAAAATGCTCTAAACCAATAATGCATTGCTCATGTAAGATTCAAAGAGACAAACTTGTTGGTGTATTTGATTATACACGATGTATACGCTTAGACATACTGGTTAGAATTATGCAAAATACACATGTACACTGATTCTTATGGTATGCATTATGATTATTTTGCATGCTATCTGTGTATAGAGCCATATTCATACATCATGCAAGTAAACCGCCTCGAAATACAAAAACAAAGTACCAGTGACAAAAGGAAATGACAAGCATCGTGTGCTACATATACAGGTAACAACTAAATTATTATTAAAGACCCTTACCAAGTTTTACAATTTTTCAAGTATGTGAAAAATCGATTTATCCTGATTTTTGTTTCTTGAGGTGACATATGAAAGCTTACAGCTAAAAAGATTCAACAAAGGCACTGTTTCAACCAGTCCAATTTTCGTTCTTGATTTACAAACAAAAAAATCTAATTTACAATGTGTATGAATAATTTAGTCGCTAACTGTATGTATCTTGTAGCATGCAGATCACAAAGTATGCTAAGGAACTTTTGTTGAATACATCAACATCTTGTACCTCCATCTGCCATTCAGTGCATAAAATGCTTATATTTGCCACGTTTTTTTAAGGGTGGTTAACTGCATTGTGAGTGAAGCTTAATAAATAAATGTACATGATTGACCCATCTTCTGACTCGTCCATTGCTTACTCATGGGTCAAGAAACCTTTTAGCAAAGATTTAAAACATACATGGATTCCCATTTTGAAAAGTGATAAAGATGTCACATTCAAAACCGCAAAATGAGTCTTTAGTTTGAAAATGATAGGAACATAAATAACATGATGAAGCATATACTTGTATATACTTGCAATTAACATTTTGCTTTTCCTTTAATTTGGATCAGAATGGTACAGAGACTAGAGTGAGAGGGAGAAAGGGAAATATATCAGTATAGACAGACAGAGAGAGAGAGAGAGAGAGAGAGAGAGAGAGAGAGAGAAAGAAAGATTTCTCTTACATTTGATTTCATTCTAGATGACATTGTGAATAAGCGGAGAGACACACAGTTTTCTTTATCAACTGACAGCAGCTAAGACGGGCGCAGATGGACAGCTTTATCCTGTTGTTGTTCGGTATTATGATGAACATCTCAAGAAAGTTGTTGGTGTGCTACTCACAATTGCAACCACAGAAGAGAGATTGACAGGAGTGAACATTATCAAACTTCTTGACAATGTTTTGAAAGAAAAGAAAATGCCATGGAAGAATTGTTGCTTTTCAGCTGATGACGCTTTGGTTATGATGGGTATTCACACAGGTGCTGCTGTCCGTGTGAGGAAAGAGAACCCAGCCGGGTTTGTATTGGGGTGCCTCTGCCATCGTTTTCACCTAGCTGCTAAAAAGGGAGCAGCGGCCACCTTGCCTTTTAAAGCCCGTCTGTACTAGTTTGGCCAGGAGAGATTAGACCACCCAGCATGGTCACTGACGGGTGGCTATCTTATCAAATCGGCTCTCAATTTACATAAGAAAAAGAGGATCATGGGCGACCAACAGGCATCGCTTAGGCATTGTTTTTTATATAGAGGAAGCAAGTAGCTACAAGTAGTGCAGTGGGGCTTTAAACCTGCTGATTTGCTCTATTACTTCTTGGAGAAGTCATTGAAGCGCCACGAAGACCTAAAAGAAGTGCAAACACTCTGTGGCACTAGCTGCTAGCCACAGCATCTTGAAGCATGCTGTACGCGCTGGTTATCACCCGAGTCAACACTGAACAGGTTGCTTAAAGCCTATCTGTACTAGTTTACAGGAGGGATTAGACCACCCTGCAAGATCACTGACAGGTGGTTATCTCATTAAATCAGCTCTCACTTAACATAAAAAAGAGGATTATGAGGGACCAATGGTCACCGATTAGGCATTGTTTGCTACATGTATATAGAGGGCGCAAAAATAGTACAGTGGGGCTTTAAGCAATGAGAAGCTTTGGTGATGTACTTTGGGGCAGGAAGCTGGTAATGGATTAGAAGAAGGGTCGAGATGATGCTGGATGCTCAAATCAGTCAAAGAAACTGAAGGTAGATACAGCCTTAGGCTGAACTGGAAAGTCAAATCCTACAATGGATCAGAAGTGGAGTCGAGATGATGCTGGATGCTCTTGCTCAAAACAGTCAAAGAAACTGAAAGTAGATACAGCCTCAGCTGGAAAGCCAAACGCTACAGTGCCAAAGGAAAGAGTAAAGAAACATACCGTTCAAGTATCTTCTGTGAGGAAGACAAGTTGTACTGCCCCAGTGTCAAAGCCAAATAGAAAGTTAGAAAGAAAGCACTCTTGTAAAGTCAACCAGCAAAGGACAATTCAAGCTGAAACCATTGTTTAGTTGTAGAGCATCTGTTTAACACTAAAGCCTGCTGCAGAAACTTTTACCAAAAAAAAAGGCAGTTTCAGCATCCTCCTCCATCTGAACTAACAAAGGAACTAGTAAGCAAAAGCCATCAACTAAAACAACCATGGCATCAACAACTACTAAAGCAACAGCACATAACAAGCCTGCTGTATCCGAAGCCAAAGGAATTCATGCTGCTCTTTCAGTCTACAACAAAACATGTTGCTTATTTTTTAAGCATACATTACCGTTGTTTTAACATATTTGTGGCTTACACCCAGTAAATAAGATTGATTGATCGATCTGTAACATTACCATTGTTTACCACTCTAACCCTAAAACTTCAGAAGGATGCACCAATGGTTCACTTACTAGATGACAAACTAAACAGTCTTCTGACTCTTCTCAGAGCCATACTGTCAAGCCAGTTGTCATCAAAACTTCAACTGATGTGAAGAAGAGTCAGTACAAAGACAAAGGCAATCAGAGAAGCAATGAAGACTTGATGCTTGGTCATGAAGTTGGAGAATTTGTTGGCAGTCACACATTATGTTCCAACCAATTAGACAAGTTCTTTACAGCTGTCAGGACATATTTTAGATGTAGAAGGAATGAGAAAAAGTGGAGAGAGACCGACATAAAACAGGAAGACTTTGGAAGGCAATGGATGAAAATGTTAAGTTTTCAAGTGTTGATTTTCTTTTTTATACAGAGGAACCTTGTATTCATAAAGTACACTTTGGCACACACACACACAAAATAATACTATTGTTACTCTGAAAACACAGTTGAATGCTAAGAGCTGGGACTGGACCTTGATCTATACCAAGAGATTGTTTAATAATAGCAACCTTCATATAATGAGGTCCTACTGGAGTCATTTACATATATGGGGGTGTTTCACAAAGATCCAAAGTCGAACTTAAGTCTAATTTAGACTAAAACATTATGGAGAGTCATTTGTAGCCTTAAAATGAAATCTCCTTCATAAAAAAATAGAAAATATGAATGATTTGAATCAACATTTTATGCCTTCTAAAATAACTTTTACAAAATCTTTTCATAGATGCCAACGGCTTTTCATAATTGTTAAGTCCAGATTAGAGATAAGTTCAACTTAGCTCCTGAAATGGTGGAATTTGATTAGCTGCCCACCTCCCTGCATAGTGAGGAGAGGCAGAGGTCTGTATACTTACACCAGATATGGGTAAAGATAACAATTTAACCCTCATTCATGCATGATGCAATACACTGCCTATAAAAACTACTGCAGTTAAAAGTAAATTCAAATATAATAAGTGGAGCGTGGTTCACACTTCCATATCTTGTAACTCTAGTACGCCTCGAGGCATTTGTTGCTGCATGCAAACATCCTTTTTAACCTCCCCTTGATTTTGTTTTGCTGCAGCTTTTTTTTTTGTAGGTGATTAACCACATTATTTGCAAAGAAGGACCTTACAGTCAAATTATCTGACCAACTAATGAAAATAAGCGTAAAATAGCCGAACCATGAATTTTCTTACTGACTAAAATACGGGGCAACAATGACGCTCCGTAAAAATAAGAAAGGAAGAAGTCTGAAAGAGTTATTTGAGCGTATTTGTGCGAATAATGGCCGTCTACTGATAGCTTAGCATACATCACATATGTAATACCTCCTCCAATCGCTCTCCTCATACGTTCTAGCTTGCTATTATACATGTATGTAAGATGACAGAAACAAGACAAGACTTGTTAGTGGCATATCACAAACTTCACTTTTTCAAGACAGAAAATTAGCTAAGGAAAACGATTCTGTGATCAAGATCATGGGCCAAAGTGAAGAAGATGAAGTTTTAATAGTTTCTTCTCTCGCCAATCTGTGTACCTTGAAGGTTTAGTATTATCCTCCTTTCACCTTTGACCTTCAGTTCACGATGCATGCTTCATTCTCGTCCGTATTCAGAAAAATATGTGGCATTCCAAGCACAGAAAGTTGTTTCTCCAATCGGAAGGCACTATTATACATTATACAGCTTAGGTCTATCAGCATATTAAAGTCTCTTTATTAAATTTGCAGTGAAAATCGTTTCACTTTGATCTGCCTCTTCCTTTCCCCTTGGCTGGTGCTTTCCCTTTGACTGGGGCTTTCCCTTTGGCAGGAGCTTTGCCCTTTGACCCTCCGCCGCGACCTTTGGCCCCTGCAGCTTTTGGCTTGGCCTGTGATGCAAAAAGAGAGGGAGTAGTGGAGAAATACTTTGAATGCAGTGCATTAAAATCTAAAGCAATAATGATCACCTTAAGAGCGTTACAGAAAAAAAAAATGTGTGCCTCAATGAGAACACCTTAAAATAGCCCTAGAATACTTTGATTTCAAAATCTGTATGAGTTCTTGTTTTCAGTCACTTCTTACTCTGTTATAATCTACATAATCAGTAAATTAGAAAATAATATTGAAATAAGTACATTTTTAAATCATCAAATAGCCTCTAACCCCCACTACCCCTCAACTCTCACTAGTGGGAAATAGGGGGAGCTATTAAACATAATGGTACTGTTAACTTAATTGTGGTGGGAAAATCCCTTCCAAGCAACACATTCAGGTCTGAGCACAACTAAACAAACACATCACAAACGTCGGCGGAGAAGAAATCAATTGTGTAAGTGCTTACCCTCAATGCACTGACGTCATCATCCTCGTCGCTACCTTCTTCATCCTGTTGTGTTCCTTCGTCCTCCTCTCCTTCCACTTTCATGAGACCATCTTCTACCCCTGCCGCCCCTCCTCCGCCCTTTCCTTTCTTCTTCTTACCCCCCGCGTCCACCGCGTAGGGGGTCGCATGTGCCTCCTTGTTGTACAGTCTGGTGAAGGCAGCTTTTACCTTAAGGAGGCAAGAGAGAAAACAATCTTAAAGGAGGCAAGATAGAAAACAATGAAATACTCAAATGTTCTGGCCTGTTACGGTGCTAATTGATTGGTTGTTAAAGTGTTATAGAGTGGTGAAGTGTGACGTCATCAAAAATCTATTTTTGAAATTTCTAAATTTTTTCATTATTTCCGAAAGAGCATCAAAAATAATGTCCAAATGTCGAAAACCAATTGAATATGTTAAGTATTGGCTGAGATATGACCATCTGAATAAATCCATTTCCTATGGGAACTCAGTGTTATATTGCTCTGGTTCATTACATTACAAGTAACTGAGTTCCTATAGGAAATTCCCAAAATAGATTTTTATGAAGTCACAGCTTTGGTACTCTATTATCTCATCCACCTGTGACATTGACAATTTTACAGATTCTAATTTCAGTATTTAAAATTGGCAGTAACTAAAGTTTGAACATCGTAGTGATACCCTTCACAGATAAACATGAAACAGTTCACTACAATTCATCAACTATATTTTACTGGCCTTCTGACTCGAAAAACCTGTCAAACATCCATCTGTGACTAACCAATCCGGCTCATTTTTAATAATGTATTAGTTAGTGAAATGGTGATAAAAGAATGTTAAGTTTCCCACAGGCAGATGGGTGAAAATAAGTGTAGAAGGAGATCTTTCTACCACTGAAGAATGTGGTGTATTAATGGCTCCGCAATGGTATAATACCATACAAATAGGAAATGATATCATGACTGATAACGATTCGTGATGGACAGGGGTTACTGCAATTTCAATGATTATTTGCAATTGAGCATTTCAATAAACTACCGACCATCTTCAACCTCTAGTAAGCCCAATAGACCAGTTCACGGTTAGCACATGTCCCAAATGACACCGAATATCAACAGATCTTCAAAACATGAAGAGGTCCCACTTTGTACAATTTGAAACAATCACTCCTACAGTGATGGAGGTGCTACGTAAATAGCCTTTGTTTCCCCTTTTCAAAGAATACTTCCACCTGTGTATCATGGAGTGCACTGCTTGTGCATAGATGAATAGTGATTACATAACTTTCATGAGCACGTATCCAGTATTTTGTCTCCATGTATTTCACAATTTGGTCTGTAATGACCTTTATCTGCTCATGCTCAGACTGCAACTATGAACTGGCTTATTCTGGAAACAACATCAACCCTTAACAAGCCTACCTTAGGAGCCACTTTGCCCATCGGGGCATTGAAACCAGAGTATTGCGTCACTTCCAACAAGCTGTCAAAGTCCTCCCTCAGTAGATCATAGCTATGCATCAGGTTGACGGTATCCGGCACCCCGTCTGCCTCCCTCTCTACCATCGGTTGCGTCAGGAACTTTCGAAGGCGAGGCAGGTACTCCTGGTTCAGGCTTCGAATTGAAGCCGATGTGCTGTCAGAGGAACACGAAAGAGAAAAACATCAATATTTCTTCTTATTTTTTAAAAATTGAAGGAATTCTCTACATCATCTTGAAATAGCCGTAATTCAAATGTAGGTACACATCCATGTAAGGATGGATATGATTTGGTCCCAAGTAAAGCTTTAAATAAAATCTGATGTACTGTTGGAAGGACATGAATGAAAATATTCAATGTTTCTACAGTGGACCTCTTTCAACATCATTTATGAACAGCTGTACATTTGTTTAGCACATGCCTCTAGCATGCAAGAATCTGCATCCAGGATGTAAATTTAATTTTATGTCTAATCTGTTTAGTATTTCATGTAAGAAGGGGGATGGGTCTTACCAATACTTTACAAGGGCTTTTAAGACAGGAATATGTCTTTTAATATGTTAATTAGGAATAAGCTCTATGACACATCTGCAAGGCATTTAACTTTGACAATTTCGATGTCTATGGTTCAGGCACCTTCCTCCGATATGTACCGGCAAACTTAAGTTACCTGCCAGTTTTTCAATATGTAAAACTGATGCATAGTGACTTAAGCTATCCTGATGATCTTGTTCAAGAAAGGAAATATCTCCATTCTATTACCTTTTTCTCATGTGAACTTGCAATTCTTGTAAGAGTCTGAAGTTCTTCCCTCTTGTCGAGTTCTTTCCAAGCCAGCTCGGGAAGTTGATCATGCCTCCCATGTAGCCTTGCATAGTCGTGCCTGGGATCACACTGGCAAATACAGCCTAAAAGGAGAGAAAGATGTACTAGAATGCAATAGGCTAATCTTGTAATGTAACCAAATTCAATGCAAATGTCTTTGTGAAGTGCTTTGATACAGATTATTTCATTCACCTGGTACAAATAATTGTATCTCAATAGTAAGAATGCAAATGTGCATACAGTATTTGTTGCTAGGTAGGACAAACATTATGGATTGCCCATTCCTAACAACACATAATATATACAGTTTGCATTCTGACTATTGAGATACAATTATTCTTAACAGGTGAATGAAATGATTTGCATTGAGGCACTTCCCAAAGACGTATGCATTCAATTCAGTTACATTATGAAAATAGCCTATCAATCTTCTTTCATATACATTCCACAACCAGCACTTATGACAGATGTGGGAGCACATGTTTGTCACTCTCAACCCAGGTGAATCAAAAAAGCGTACCTGGTAATGCCAAGTAATAATAATTGTAAGGCCTACAGGAAGCGCAGTATTCATACTGATGTGGCCACCAAATTATATTTAATTATTCCCATTTACGACACTCATAAGAGTACAGTGTCAACAACTCTGGCTATAACGTTTTATTTACCCAGGGTAGCCACTTCAGTTATAAAACTGCTCTCCCAGCGGGCCCTGCATAACATAACATGTTACTATTACCCTTCTCCAATCCAATATGCTGAGCGCCTAGCTAGAAGGCAGAAGGTCCCATTGTTATAAGTCTTTGGTATGACTCGGCCGGGGATTGAACCCACGACCTCCCGTTCATGAGGCGGACGCTCTAACCATTGAGCCACCATACCCGGCTAAATGTATACATGCTGCAAAACTTCTCTTTTTTGACAGATGCGCAACCAGTTGTAAAACATGATGTGTTGTAGTTCATGATTTTTAAGGCATTATACTTGGCCACTTTTGAAGTACATGATGAAAGTAAATTACTGGTTGTCCAGAATTCTAAGAATCTCTTCCATTTCTCGTAATACAAGATGTATCATTCTTCCTTGATGAAGGATTCTATAAAAGGAAATAACTTTCAATTTAAAATTGTTTCAGCACAGACACACTAAAAAAATAAAAATAAAACAACACTAATATGTGAGGAATTCATGAGAGTTGAAACAAGACAGAAACAACAAAAAGTTTTAGCATGAAATTTTCTCAGCAAGAAGGAAAAAATGACTCAAACGAATAGGACATACCTGTGTTGGTAGCAATCTCCAACAGTTTCTTGTCCTGATGGCTTTCTCCACAAGGTCACTTTGGCACATGCTGTCAGCTGCTTTACTCACCAAGTCTAATTGCTTTTTGATGTCTCCTCTGAAAGGAAGTGATAGTGAGAGAAGACATTGCAGCAAAACATGACTTCTTGGAAATGTCAAGTGTAAGAGAAATGCGCATACATCTCATCTTTAAAAAAGTTGAAATGATGATAATGATGGTGGTGATGATAGTGGGGGTGGGTGGTGGTTGTTGTTGTGGTGATGGTGGTGGTAGTGGAGGTGGTGATGATGATGGTGATGAGGATGACGATGATGATGATGGTGGTGGTGATGAAGATGATGGTGGTGTTGGTGATGATGATGATGATGGCGATGATGATGATGGTGGTGGTGATGATGATGATGATGACGGTGGTGGTGATGATGATGGTGATGATGGTGATGATAATGATGATGATGATGGTGATAATGATGATAATGATGGTGACGGTAATGATGATGATGATGAAGATGGTGATGACAGTTTTGGCAAATAAGATGTTGAAGATGAGGAAGGTGGCTATGGTGATGATCATGTGATCAAATTGAGAATTGTGATAATTACACAAATTAAATTCCAATATCATCTCATCTGTTTCTTACCTTCCTTCATCTGGTATGACATGAAGATAGTTCTCTTGCACAAAGAGCCCTGCAATGGAGTAGTCGTGGAAGAACAAGTCCATCTTATCGTTGAAGCTCATCGTCTTGAGGTCTTTGGAAGAGAAGACTTGCCTGGCTACATCCCAAGGGCCCTGCACGGAAGAGGAGATATATCAATTAGTGGGACATAAGGGGAACAAAGATAGGGGTGAGGAAAGGACAAAAGGGAGATGGAAATATGTAAACAGTGAGAAGGAAAGAGAGTGAGAGAGACAGACAGACAGACAGAGACACTTGAAACACATTGGTCTCTTTGCCGATCTGCCGGGTTCGAGAGGTCCCACGGGTCTCACTAACAAGCATAGCTTTTTGGGGTCCTAATTTGGATCATATTTGATCGTCATGATTGCCATGTCTGGTGTTTTTTTAATAAACTGAAACTGGATCTGAGACAGATCTAAACACAGACAGACAGATAGACAGAGGCAGACATACAAACATACATGAAGACAGAGACAGACAGAGAGCTGGAGACCAAAAGGAAACAGAGAAAGTGACAGACAGACAGGAAGAAACAGACAAGATTGAGGATTAGAGATACAGAAAGATATAAGGATAGAAAGTCCTCACGGAAAAAGACAGTGTATCATTAGTAATTTGCACATCCTTGGCCAACGTCAAGAACCAAATGGCAACGTCCAATGAGCTACTAAAATACTTGAAGAATATATTTTCACATGAGGGAGAAAAAGATACAAGATAGAGAGCAAAGTATAGCTCTGTACTTCCTCTCAGGCCAAGAGTGCTTAACATGTACAATTTGTTTAAGAATGTGAAATGATAACCAAAACAAGATTTGTTTTTCTTCTTCCTCTTGTACTCACCAGTTTTAGATCTTTCTTTGCATTCCTTGCATCTGTGTTCATCTGTTCAGCGTTCATCTTCTTCTGACCTGCACTCCACATACTCAGGTTGTGCAAAACCTGGAGAAAATGCAGTAAAGAGGTAAAAAATAGGTCTAAACACTTTTTCTACTTGGACTGGTATTTGAAAAATTTAAGGCACATGGATAACTTTGTTGAAATATTAAAAAGAAAATTTATTCAGGGATGTATAAAACTATCCATTGATATTTGCTCATCTTGCTATACTTCTTTCGCAGTGACTGTGAATTTAAAACGATACAAAACTTGAGATCAAACTGATACTCTAAATCATAGATTACAAATTGTTATCATTTATAAATTCATAAAATGAAGATAACAAAAAAAAAGAAGATTAAATATATCAATATAACAGATTCCAGCAGCAAAAAAAAAATTCTTGCTTTGGAAAAAAATAAAAGGGTCAAAGGTGAAAGGTGAGAGTTCAATCTAACCTGTCTGACATCCTGGTTAGCAGCCATGATCATGCCGTCTAGAGCGGCAGGAGGAACGGTCAGACCTTCTTTGTAAGCGATGGACATCATGGCAGACTGTTAGACAAAGCAATGACAAAGTATGGAAATACTTTGTTATTAATGTATTCTTCTCCAAAGATAATTTCAATACGAATACATCGTAAGAATATTTACACATGAAAATGCAGTATGCATACACTTGTGTTCTTTACTTTATTGAAACACATGATACGCAGAAAAAACAAAATAATAATCAAGGAAATTGTAAATCAATTCATTTATTTCTCCAAATTAAATTGTCATCCTTTAGACTTGAGTTACATTATGGTAGTCATGAAAGTGATGATAATGTCAATAGACAATCAAGGTGTTTCTTTCAACTTAGTTTCCTCATCTAAATCATCACCATATCATTCACATTGTCATTATCATCATCATCATACTTCTAATATAATAATCTAATCGTCACATTCATCATCACCAGCATCACTAACATCATCAAAATCATCACCATACCCCGTCGTCGTCGTCGTCATCATCATCATCATCATCATCACCACCACCACCATCCTCCTCCTCTTCCTACTTACCTTTATCTGAGGAACCCTTGGTCTTTGGAATCTCAGATCAAAGCAGTAGTTTACTAGAGATCTGATCTTGGGATGACTTCGATCATTGCAGATACAGATGATTGGTGTTCTCGTAGTCTTGATCATCTGGATGAGCTCCTGTAGGTGCAAATCAGAGGTTTTTTTCATCAAAGATGTATTATATTTTTCTCATTATTATGGGTGGAGTACCAAAAAAAAGGGGAGTGATTAGAATAAAATTCTGATACTTCACAAATCACTAAATCCAAGGCCAACATGTATGTACAATAATTTCATTTGCTGAAAGCCAGAAGGGCCATGACTTATATTATGACACATAGTTTACACCATTATGGTTCACAACAGACAATATCAAAACCTTAAGGCCATAATACTATCTTCCCTGTAAATAAGAAACACTTTAATGTCCAGATCACACTTCATTTCATGTCACATGATGCAGAGGTCCTCAACTTTACCCATGATAAATAATGCTTCTATTCTCAGACGCCTTGACCTCTACACTCTCATGCCCTTAAGTACCTATAGTCCCACATACACATCCTTCCTGAAAATCATGATCAAACCTGGATTTCCTGCAACACCATAATGGACATCCTCCATGATCAGACAATGCTTGTAACTCTTGTCTGTTGTCTTTTTGTCACTAGAAACCCCTAGTCCCATCTACAAATCTCCATGTCCAACATTCAATACTTTAGTCCCACATATTCCTTTCCCTGCTATCAAAAACTTTGTAGTTCTACACATAAATCTTTCCTGTCAATTGTAATCATACCCTGGTCCCACATATCCCTTTCCCTGTTATCAAAAACGTTGTAGTTCTACACATAGATATCTTCTGTCATTCGTAATCATACCCTGGTCCCACATATTCCTTTCCCTGTTATCAAAAATGTTGTAGTTCTACACATAGATATCTTCTGTCATTCGTAATCATACCCTGGTCCCACATATTCCTTTCCCTGTTATCAAAAACTTGGAATTCTACACATAGATATCTTCTGTCAATCGTAATCATACCCTGGTCCCACATATTCCTTTCCCTGCTATCAAAAACTTTGTAGTTCTACACATAGATATCTCCTGTCAATCGTAATCATACCCTGGTCCCACATATTTCTTTCCCTGCTAGCAAACACTTTGTTCTTCTACACATAGATCTTTCCCATCAATCGTAATCCTACCTGAATTCCTCCTCTATCTTCATTCCCTGCTACACCATCCACTTCGTCCATAATCAGACAATGCTTGTGACCCTCTTCTGAAGTCTTCTTTCCACAGCCCTTCTTGAACATGTCGGCAATAGATTGGTTGTCGAGCGATTCTGCAATACCACCCTGCAGGCTCTTTTTCCCTCTAGAATCACTTGCATTTTGTTCAATGAAGGAAAAGCCAAGTTCCTGTGCGATAAGAAATAAAGCTATAGTCACAGTATGGTATCTGTGGTCCCAGAACCACCTTAGAAGAAAAACATTTTGGAACAGTTTAATTCGCGAGGATTCCAGGCTAAGAATCAAATTTTACCTTGAAATTCTTCCCCAACTACCATAATAAAAACAAATCTCATCTGATTGTGATATTCACAACAACAACAAAACATTCAAAAAAAAAATTGAAAAAGTCTTTAGTAAAGATTTCACGTGTCTTACAGGCCAACATGGGGCTGAAGAAATGTTGACAGCAAAATATTCTAAGATATCTTCCAATAATTCAGTTTGTGATAATACTTACAATAACTTTGCACTCTTGAGTTGGGAGTGTGCAGGATTAATACAACATATTTAATACGCAGTATAGAATGAATTCAATCGATATACATAAAGGAATGTTGCCATCAAAGAAACAAAGATAGAATTTTGCCATAATACTTATATTCCTACCCTCCTACTTGTTCCTATGCAGTAACCAATTACAGCGACATTTAATCCATAACTTTTGTACTGTTTATATGTATTTGGATACACACATGTATGGAAATTTGAAAGGAAAAGATATAGAAATTCATCTACAAGTTCACATAACAGACAAATTGTGCTCTTAAATACATGAACATGAACAGTCAAACCTGCTTTAGAGAACACTTTTCTACAAAGACCACATATTTCCCTTTAAAATCGTTTCTCATTGTAACATGTACTATAGGCACCTGTACATAAAAGACCACCTGACTATAAAGACCACTTTTCTTGTCTCCCTTGGGTGGTCTGAACAGACAGGTTTCACCGTCGTTGCTTCCTACTAACCTGGCAAACCAGAGTGGCTGTTGTTGTCTTGCCTACACCAGGGGGCCCAGAGAGGAGAGCTGCTCTGAATGCAAAACCCGCATCCCTGTTGAATTTAGCTGTGAAACAAAAGCGATTTTTAATTATCTTGATGCAGGGTTGCGATGCTATAGATCATATCATCATCTCGTAGGAACCAGAAGGATGTCAATCAATTTTTTTTTTAACCAATGCAATATCATCCTTTTGATCTCAGCAGACAAAAAATAGGAATGTAGGCTAAGACAAATAGTATGCACACAATATTACAACAATAGTGGCATCTTAGATATAATCAAAAAATGAGTTATCTGACTTATCCCTATTTTAACTGGGCTATTTCAGACCGGGTTTTTACTGGGGGGGGGGGGGGGTCAATTTGATCCGTTTCACTGCTAATCGCCGCGAAAATTTGCATACATGTCAAGTGAAGTGTATAGAATACTATGGTAATTTTCAATTTTTTGAAAAATTCACTCATTTGCATATTTATGGTAATTTATGCAAATAAGGTCATAAAATTCACATTTTTGCCCATAAATCAAACATTATTAATATTTAAGCATTCTTTTTCACTACATATATTTGTTAGACCATTTGGAATAATAATACAACAGTAAAAAATTGGAAGAGCCAGGTTATTCCTTATGTTATCTCTTGTTTTGATAATTTCTTATGTATTTCATTGCTTTTTAACTTATGTATTTTATTGTTTTTGCTGTTTTTGTTGTTTAATTTCATTTATAACTACAATTCAACTATTTTGACCCCAAAACAAACACCTAAACTCTAAACAAGACTAAATAACCAATGTTTTATCTCTTTTTAGAAAAAATTACATTTCCATATGTTTTGTACACAAATCACAAAAATAAGCGATTTTCGGGCTGACATGCGAAGACAAAAGGTCACTTGACTTTGTAACTATACGTCCGATTTTCGAAAAAAATTGTTTTAAAAGATGCATAAGACTCAAAAGAAAAAAGTCATGAAAGGAAATTTTTATATCTGCCGCGGTTTCGGAGAAGTCACAAAATTTCTACAGGGGGGGGGGGGGTCAAATCCCCCCCCCCCCTTCCCCAGTTAACATAGGGTTAAACTTGCCCCTTTTAAACATGACTTGATTAAACAAAAAAAGTTACGGTATGCATTTTTCAAAAAAGCAAGGTTTTAAGTGTGTTTGTGAAGGAAATAGGTTGATGAATATGCCATTTTTCCTTCTTATTTTCTCATTAAAACTCTTTGAGTACATTCACGAATACTCTACCTTTTTCTTTGTTGATCCCGTAATTGTTGTCGGTTGATGAATACACAATTTTCCCTTCTTATTTTCTCATAAAACTCTTATGATTACATTCACGAATACTCCACCTTTTTCTTTGTTGATCTCGTAATTGTTGTTGGTACATGAATACACAATTTTTCCTTCCTATTTTCCATAAAACTCTTTGAGTACATTCACGAATACTCCACCTTTTTCTTTGTTGCTCCCGTAGTTGTTGTCGTTCCACCTCCTGAGCCAGTTGAGTAGTTTCTTGGCGTTGCTCTTATCTCCCTGCTGCCCGATGATGTTCTTTGTGCTGACTGGTTTATACTTATCCACCCACATCAGGCTTTGGCCTCCCCCTGCTGCAGACTGGCCTCTCCCTGGTGCAGGCTTTGAACTTTGACCTGATTGACTGACATTCGATGATGATGATGATGATGATGGGAGAGATGACGGTTCCTTCTTTATTGCTGTATCTTTTGAGGATGGGATTGGTTTCATACTTGGTGTGTCTGGTTTTGATATTGTCCTCTCCGGCTTTGTTTCCTCATGCTTTTGTCAAACATGAATGAACAACAGGAACAACAGAAAGCATAACTAATGTCTCGTAGATGATAATATGTACCTTTAAAAAAGTTGGATGCTTAAGCAAAATATGGTATACATGCGTACATTCAAGATGGTCTGGCATGTCCTCCCAACAACTACTCCAGGCTTTATTTCATCAAGGACTCAAGGTTGCAATTAGGCTTAAGGTTAGGTTTAGGGTTATGATTACCTTAGTGTGCATGTGTTATACAGCTTCACTCAATTCTTCAATAAATTTAGCCTCAAAATAAGAATGGAATGCTAAAGTTATGGTGTTAATGCAGTGTTCACCTAAACTTATTTATTTATCAAAGGCATACATCTGCACATTTTGCATGCTCTGTTTTGTTATAGTGAAATGTATACATGTGATTCTCAAATGGAAAGGGAGAAAGATAAAAACAGACATGGGTACAAAGAAAGATGTGTCAATTAGAAAGGTATGCCATTGTCTTACCTTCGCCTGCTGCTGAGGTGCTTGACCTTTGGCCTTTGACCCTCCTTTCCCTGGTCTGGTTTCTATCATTTCATAGAGTTCTTCCTCCTGGATCTGTTTGATTCTAAACTCTTGTGCCTGTTGTAAGAGAAAGAGATAAAGAACATGGCTAGTTTAATAGATGATATTAATTCTCAATAAAAAATATATAATTTTCTGCTAGTGACTCGGTAACATTGCTTCAGATTCTGAAACGAAATCCTGGATTTAGCTCATGCTGCAATCATAATTATAAACCTTTAGGTCAGTCAGGAATCCCATGACTTTTACAAGTCAATCACCTGTCTGATTATAAAGATATTTTATTTAACGGTTGTTATAACACTACAGTCTATTGGGGAAGATGAGTATGGTAAAACCAGTCACTCAAAGATTTTTACTTTTTTGAGGCACTTTATGATCATTTTGAAGCAAAATTTGTTAGGGCTTCAATATTACACCATACCACGACACTGATAACAGGTAGGGCCATTTATGTCAGATTAAACATTGTTAAACAATGCCTTTAAAGTATGCCTACACTTCCATGATAACATATTTATCAAATACTATTGTTAGAATACTAAATCATTGTGTGTGTCTTGTTTCACTGACCTTTGCCACTTTAGACTCGCCAGGTTCTCGACCAATCACAAGATGCGATGTCTTTTTGCTGACGCTAGTAGTGAGTCGACCGCCGTGCTGCTCAACCATTGTCTTGATCTGATCTTTGTCAAAGTACTCTATAACTCCAGTGAGCACGAAGGTTAAACCAGACAGACAGCCATCAGCACCCTAGGAAAATAAAATATGGAAAGATGTTTTGCTGTCTTTCATATATCCACCTGAGATAAATTCATACTTCTACTCATCTCCTTATCATTCTTCTCTTCTTATTAATTTGACAACAAGCTAGCACAAAGATTTTAGGTTAGTTTTCATGATTGTCCAAATATCGTATTTCTTTTACTTACCACCAACTGTATTGAGATTCAATTCATGATTTTTTTTTTTAACCAACATCATATTCATACTTCCTTTCTCTAAACCACTTACATGAAAACACACTCAGCCAACAAATCTTTCAAATTCATATTAATTACTGGTTTCAAATATGTGGGATATACAAACATGATTAAAAGTGTGTCTTCCAATGCCTTCTATTTAGCATACTGTAAGACTCAAGTTAAGACAATAATTAAGATTAATAGTTTCTGTGGGTGGTGTCAAGGTTTCCCAAAACATGCTTGACGGAGTATTATGAGTAGGCATGCCCATGCCAAAACCTTCTATAAACAGAAAGTCTTTTTCTGAAAACACCCCCCCCCAAAAAAAACACACAACAACAACACACTTCTACCCACCTTTGGTTCTTCTCTCGAGCCCAATGATCTTGGCCCTTCCCGATTCAAGTAGCTCTTATAGCCTGCACTACCCCTCCTCTTCTCCCCCTCCCCACCAGGGGGGCTGGTCACAGCCTCTTCCTTCTTCCTGGGAGGGGATGTGATCTCTAGTTTGGCCTTGGTGGTGGACTTTATGGGTGCACGTTTGGCTGGTGGGGGCTTGGTGGGGGTGGATCGGGTCACTCTCTTTGTTGGACTTTCTTTCTCATCTTCTTTTGTTGAAATCTGTATTCCCAAATATCAATTCAAAAATGTTGTAACATGAAGGTTTGGATAATTCTACAGCTTTCTTTACAGGCTGTCTGTACCAGTTTTGCCAGGGGGGGATTAGACTCCCTGCAAGGCCACTGACAGGTGGTTATCTCATGAAATCAGCTCTCAATTAACATAAGAAAAAGAGGATCATGGGGGACCAAAAGGCACCGATTAGGCATTGTTTGCTATATAGAGGGCGCAAGAAGCTATAAGTAGTGCAGTGGGGCTTTAACGTTTCAACAATATTGTAATTTTAACAGATCAACCTGTTGGAGACAAATAGTAATTGTATGATGTATCCTCTGTAAACTCGAGCTCAAGCTATGTCGAGTTCAGTATACTACTGGTTAAACATAACTCATATATGATACAGTAACTTACTGGAACAACCTGTAAAAAGAAGACCACCATAAACAGAGAACAGCCAAATGATACTAAAAGTTAAGCTAGATAATATTGTATTCAGCCTCAAACCTAACATGCTTCGTATTTCGGATCCTCTCTTACATTGTACATCCCTCGTGATGTGTTCCTGTGAGAATAGACTAAACTTAGATCCTCTAAAACACAGGCCCCTGGTTCAAGCCTTATTCATATTGCATTCCCTTACACACACATATAACTGACCCTTATGATTTTAATAAACAGTCAAACCTGCTTTAGTGACCACTTGTACATAAAGACCACATGTCTATAAAGACCACATTTTCTGTTTCCTTTGAAAGTGGTTTTATTATTAAAACATATGATAAGGGAACCTGTACATAAAGACCCCCTGTCTATAAAGACTACTTTTCCTGTCTCCATTGAATGGTCTTTATATACAGGTTACAATGTACTCTGTAAATCTCAAGATTTTGTAAGGCATTGCTGTTTAGTGGACCCCTCTGTTTCCAATATGTATTCCTATATTGTTGTAAATGTTTATAGTTGATTTGTAATGTTTTGTTGGAAACATAAATAAATTGAAATTGAATTAAAGTTAATATGACTCACTCTACTCTGTTGTCTGCTGCCTGAAGGGGTATCCTGGATGGTAGGTTCCGTATATCTAGACCTCTCCTTCTGCTTCTCTCTGTCCGGTGTGTCCGGAACAAGGCTACCCGCCTTCACCTTGGCTGCCAATTTGCTCGCAAGTCCTTTGCCCTTAGCTGTACAAGACGATGGATATAAAATCGGAAGGTCAATTTTCTTGTGAGTCATTTATCTTTGGCTACACCAGAAATTGGAATTGAAATTGGACACAGCAAAATGTACTTTCTATCATCCCCACTTGCCTTTCATTTACACTAAAAAAAAATATCAAGATTTTGGCACCATATGTGAACAAATCTTTAATGTTCAATTTACTTCAGATACTGAGAAAGTCAGCTACAGCTGGCTGTGTGATTAGGTAATGGATAATAATAATAATAATAATAATTATTATAACGGTGCTTATAAAGCGCTTTCCACCCAAGTCTCTGCGCGCTGGATGACGGTAGTCCTATCTCACAGCATTGATGCGTAGACTAATTAACTTTCTAACCAGAATATCTGGTTAACTGCCGGTCTACAAAATATGACATGACAGCAAGGACTACATGCGTGACTACACAATTGGTCTCTGAAGTCTATGTGGAAAATGTATTTCATACACTGATGATGCAATTAATAAATAATTTATGCTTATGAGCATTCAGCATTGATTTTCTCAGATTGGCAGCACATGCGATTTCTTTTCAACTTCCTCTTCAGGAGACAGGTTTTCACAATGAACAGGAACACCCTAAGCACAGTACGGCCAATAAACAAATAACACATGCTTATGTATTGAGAGAATTCTTAGCCTTGCTGTTATATCCTAAATCCATACATGCCAACATTTGAAAATCAGAAATCTGTACAAATTATGCTATTTTCAAAAAAAAGAGGAACAATCCTAACTCTCCTATTCAATACTACAGACAAATTTGTACACGAAGAGGAACACCTGCATTAAAATGATAACTATCTTCTCCCAAAAAGAGGAATGTTCCTCTTTAATCTGAACAGTTGGCATGTATGTAAATCCAATATTCAAATATTGATTGGTTTTAAGTTACTGGAGTTGTTTCTTTTATTTATTTTTGTTCATTCACCTGGTTTGTCTTCTTTTGGAGGTGACTCATCTTGGTCCATCATGCGAAGGGTGGCTTGGAAATCCTCATCATCATGCTCCTCCATCTCCAGCCGAGGTTTCTTGGCTCCTCCATTGGTGAGCGGCTGGGGGTAGAGATGCAAATGAGGGAGTCATTGAAGGGGGCAAATAACAAAATAGAATATTATGCTCCCGGAGCGTTGGCTTGAGGTCAGTTCAATGCATGCAAAATATCAGCTTCAAATATTACTCCATACGGTACAGAGAAATTCCAAGTTTAAAAATAAAAGTTCAATTCTGGTCATGTGATTGTGAGGGAGGCATTAAAGGGGGCAAATCACCACAAAGAATATCATGCTCCCAGAGCGTTGGCTTAAGGTCAGTATATTATAAAAGAATCTAAAGTCATATGTTTGCATGTTATTTTATTCAATTATATGTTGAATTTTTTTTTTTAATACTCTGTATGTATTGGATATGTTTTTTTTAATGAAGAATGGAATAAAATACCATACCATACCATACCATACCATACATCTATGCATATTTGTTATCATTTCTCTATGTAACTCATTCGAATTCTATCCCTCTGCGTCTCAGAATATTTTACTAGATCGATGGTGCATAACAAAGGCTGTTTTTATTTATTACTATTATACTGCATTCAAAATATCAGCTTCGAATATTACTCATATATAGAGAAATTCGAAGTTGTCAAGATAAAAGTTCAATTCTGGTCATGTGATTGTCTGAAGCGACTGGGAAATGAAAGTTGAACCAAACCTTTTAGATATTTCTTGTCATATTTCATATATGAAAGCATTAGAAGAGCCATACTTTTCAAGGGACATTTTTTTCTATGATATTCCTCCACACTATTAAACATTAAAAGAATGAAAAAGCTCATAAATTATTTTTCACCTTTCCCAGATGTAACCTTCTCTTTACAGCTCTCTTTGTAAAAACAACATGTCCTTAGCTATTTGTGCATGCAGGCAGACATACTCTGAACGTGCATGAGCTTTAATACTAACCTGTACCTTTCTAGCAGGTTTCTTCACAGACCTCTGTACCGGAGAGTTCCCAAAGAAATCAATCGCCGAGGTGGCTTTCTTCTTCTCTGGCGTCGGCTGAGGCAGCTTGGTTGGTCCCTTACTGGTCTTGGACTCGGTCTGCTTCACAAGGGTCTTGGTCTTCTTGGATTTGGGATCATCTGAGTCTGAGTCTATGTAGATCAATAAAGATAAGTAGCAAAACAACGTAAATGATGAAGAAGTATATGATAATACATGTATTATCAATTTATTTATGTAGATCTAGTACAAAACATTGGTTAATACAGGATCTGAAGATCTGATCTACATCCTTTCCATCAGAGAAAGTTTAAGCCAGTTTCTCCTCTAAACTTTTCTTTTATATATAATTCCAATATGTATTATACACCTCTCTTTTATATGGCATAAATCTATTCATCTGATTGGTCGAAATTGGAGTTACACTGTAATGAGTCAATAGTCAATAAGAAAGATGCTTGTTGCCCCGCGTAACAGGCCGCATAGTTAAATTTTGCTAAAATCCATACTGTGCAGTGTGTGTGTGATTCCTGAATGATCGTAACATTCAGGTAACTTCCCAGCGAAGATTAAGAGACAGTGTCAGATTTTCTGTGATGTTTTAACCAATCATTACTTAAGAAAAGGATAAGGTAAGAATTCTTTGTAGATTTGTTTGTGAATTTGCTGCTTTAATATTTTAGGCATAGCTGTCTCTATATTGGCTCTTGGGGATGTTACATCCTGCTATGACCCCTCGGTCATAATATTTGGCAGATCTGGTGTGAATTATGTGCATTGCGCAGTGTCTTTTTTGTCTTGCAAATTTCAGAGAACCCGGGTACTACAAAACCAACTCATCTCTTTCTGTGAAATAGCACCTTCACTTACCAGAATCATAAATGATGTTGGATTTCTTCATCTTCGTCGGTTTGGCAGAGTGGCGCTGCTTCTTCTCGAACATGGCAAAGTCTCCATCATCTTCATCGTGTTTTCTCTTTCCTTTGCCATTAGTGTGTTTGGTTGAACTGGAGGATGCAGCCGGCTTACCCGGGCTGCCAAAAAAGGATCTAATGTCCTGGAAATAGATGAGATAGTGAATTTTTTTAAATACTGATATTAACAAGAACTGCAAGCATATTAGAACGATATGCATGCATTGACGTTCAGGTTTCTATGTGGCAGACGAAAGAGTATATATCTCGGACTATCCAGAGCGATTTGTTAGAGCTAGGTCTGTAGCATCTAGGATAGTGGCCGACAGACAAAATGGCACATGGACGGTCACGCATGAGTGATTTCGAGAAAAAAAGGAATTTTGTGACCTTGATGAAAAACTTGAGATTTTGCCTTAAAAGTTGGAAAGGAATCGGGATTAAAGGAAGGGATCGCCCTAAAATAGGCTCACAAGCACGAAATGCAAAACAAATGGGATTTAGTGAAAAGAAGAACACGTCATGACACATGTTGTGGCACAAATGGCCTTCGATACTAACAGAATTATGCAGGATGTAAAAATAGTGTTTCAAGTGTCCGGATTAAAGGAAGGGATCGCCCTAAAAAAGGCTCACAAGCACTAAATGCAAAACAAATGGGATTTAGTTAAAAGAATATCACGTCATGACACATTTTGTGGCACAAATGGCCTTTCGACATTAACAGAATTATACAGGGTGTAAAAATATTGTTTCAAGTGCCCCCCCCCCCCCACCCCCTTGAGAGATTTTCAAAATCCGGCTTTGAGATGCCCTATAGGCCTAGTGCACTTGGTTTAGCTAGATCTAGTCTATTCATGATTTTCTGTGTGAATGCTGCAAATGGTATCATTCGAAAGGGCATTTCATTGCAACTGTGGTCAGTTTGATTTACGTGTAATGTATTGCAAGTATGTAAGTCTGTTACATGCTTGCAGTACATTACGCCCGATAATCTTGTATCAGACTCAGTTTTCTGCAAAACCAAACATCTTGTCTTGTTCCTCTCTCATTATCTCTGTCAATATAGATTCTAGACCTAGATTCTAGGGTCTAGGGCCTAGATCTATTCACATTAAAAAATAGTAAAAAGGGCAAGTCAATGCCTTGTAAATGGCAATGTCATTTTAAACAATGAATAGCCATAGAAATAGTATATCAGACCCTAGTATTATACATTATGCACATATCAATTGCATAATCACGAACCATCACCATCATGCTCATTCATTCATTCATTCATTTGCAATGCAATGTCAACTGAGACTGTCACAGTGTCAGTGCAGTGTCAATGAAGAGGTTGCAAATAACTTGTTTTTAAATTTAGAAGATGTTAAAGAATTAGATAGAACTTCTCTCAGATGGTTCTCACTGTTATATTTATACTCAAACTTCTAAATATCTATAAAAAGCTATATCTTTACCATAGACATGATTAATCAGCTGTTCTAATGAAGCCGTCGCGTCGCCAGTCAAATAACCATGTTGTTGTCATTCGCGCCCGCGCGTTGAAGTAGCGTTCGCTGTGCCCCGGCCCACTGCACTCTATATTACGTGCTTTCACGTAAAAGCTTGTAAGTTGTAGGATTGCATGGGGACAGCCTAAACTGACCACCTGACCGCTCAGTCTATAACGTGATATGCCTTTTTTTTCGACCGACCCCAAATCTACTGTCGGTTTTTTATTTTAAAAGTTTTTTTTTTAAATGTTTTTTTAGGAAAAGAATGTGTAGTTTGTTTGTTTATATGGAATATAGAAGTCTAAATGCATTAATCATCAAATGATTCCCAAATTCGCATAGATTTAATGGTCTCTTATTTAAAACATTCATAACTTTCTAATTAGTGGTCCGATTTATGTCAAACTTTTTTTTCATTCTGTATATCTTATTTTTTTCTGCTTTCATGCAATGAACTTATTATTGAAGGGATTGGATTACCCTTCAAAGTCTATCTGCACTAGTTTTGCCAGGAGGGATTAGACCTCCCTGCATGGTCACTGACATGTGGTTATCTCATCAAATCAGCTCTTAATTAACACAAGACAAAGGGGACCATGACCGGGGAACCAATGGTCACCGAGTAGGCACTGCTTGCTATAATAGAGGGCGCAAGCACTGGCGTACCTATGGGGGGGGGGGGGGCAGGGGGGCAGAGTGCCCCCCCTAACGGGCTCCAGGGGAAAAAAAGAAAAAGGGAAAGTAAAGAAAAGAAAGGAAAGGAAAGAAAAAGAAAAAAGGAAAAGGGAAGAAAAAAGGAAAGAAAGAGAAAAAAGGAAAAAAAGGAAAAGGAAAGAAAAAAGGAAGAAGAAGAGAAAAGGAAGAAAAAGGGAAAAGAAAAGGAAAGGAAAAAAAATGGGGAGATTTAAAAAATAAAGACCATGGCCGTACGCACCAGGGGGGGGGGGGTGGCAGTTGACCCCAGATATTTTGAAAACGTACAGTTTTTTTCCTGAAAATGTAGTGTAGGCCTATACCAAATCCTTCAATTCTACTTTTGAAAATGCAAAAGTACCCTCATGACTAGTTCGGTCGCTTGAACTCCCTTCACTCCTTTTGCTTTTGAGATTCTTCGAAAACTTTTAACGCATTTTTCCCCCTCCCCCACCAGAAAAATATTCCGCATACGGCCCTGAAAAATTAAGACAAATGAAAATAGGTAAATATAAGTGATATAACAAATTCGAAACTCTTCACTGGCGCGAACTGCTTGCTATCCTATTTTGTATTAAATGTTTTCACTTGCTCGTCCCCCTGAAAAAAGAAAAGGATTAGCATTGCCTAGAATACAATTGTGCCTGCCCCGACGGGCCCCGACCTGCAATCATGGCAACAATAACACACAATGTATGTACCAAATGTTACTAAAAGAGACTAATTCATTTTTCTCGCTCGCTACACTCGCTCGCGAATAAAATGAATAGGCATTGCTTTGGAAACAATTGTGCCCACCCTTGACCTGCAACAATATAAAAAAAAAATGGAAGAGTTTTTTTGCCCTCTCACCAAAAAGGAATTGAATCGCGTTGAACTCGATTGCGTCCATCCTGACCTGCACCAATAAAAACAAGTTTATTTATTAATTTCTATTAAAAGAGAATTTATTTTTTTTGCTTGCTCGCTATGCTCGCTCGCCAAAATGGAATTGACACCGCTAACGTGCCCGCCCCAACCTGCAACAACCAGTTAATAATTATGTACCAAACGTTATTCAAAGAAGTTTTGGTGTGCTCGTGCTCGCCAAAATGGAATTAACATCACCTTAGACATGATTGTGTAAGCCCTGCCCTGCAACAAAAAAATCTGAAATTTATGAACCAACTATCATTACAAAAATTTTGCTCGCTCGCTCGCCAAAATAGAGATAACACCGCTTTTAATAATCACGTCCCTGACATGGAACAATGAACCCAAGTTTATGTACCATATTTTCCCTATTAAAGAGAAGTGATTTTTTTTTATAACACCGCTTTTAATAATCACGTCCCTGACATGGAACAATGAACCCAAGTTTTATGTACCATATTTTCCCTATAAAAGAGAAGTGATTTTTTTCGCTCGCTCGCTACGCTCGCTAGCTCGTTGAATTATGTGCCCACCACTAACCTGCTACAATATCATTAAAAAGAGAAATGTAGGGGGTTGCCTGCCCGCTAAAATGGGATTGACATTGCCTTAAACACGATTGTGCCCGCTCCCAACATGCAACAATGAAACAAATTTTATAAAGCAATTCATTGAGAGAAAGATGTATTTTCGCTCGCTAGCTAAAATGGGTATAAAATTAGCCTAAACACAATATTGTTCCCGTGCCCTGCATGGGACAATTGAACCAAGTTTACTCTCTTAATTTCTAGGACTTATTTTAAATCCAAGGGGACTTGGGACAGTGACAATTGTCACTGTCCCAAGTTTCCCTTGGATTTAGAATAAATTCTTTGGACTTTAAAATAAGTCCTAGAAATTAAGAGAGTTAAGTGGCAATTATTAAAAAAAAAGTGATTTTTTTTTTCTTGCTCGCTACGCTCGTTTGCAAAAAATGAAATTAACGTCGCTAACAAGTGAATATTCCCACCCCCAACTTGCAACAATACCAGTTTATATACCAAACGTTACTTAAAGATTTTTTTTTGCTCACTCGCTCGCCGGAAGTGAAAATTAGCATCGCCTTTTTTGTTTGTTTCGGTCGCTTGCCCCCCTGACGGAGTACCCCAGGTACGCCACTGGGCGCAAGTAGCTATAAGTCTGTTGTGCAGTGGGGCTTTAAAAGAGTGGATTTTCACTCCTTGGTATTAAGATAGTGAAAATAATGCTCTCTATATATTTTTTAAATGGTCCATTGCTCCTGAATGTCTCAGAAGTCAATAATGAATCAGTATGACAGAAAAATAACCATTAAGAAATACCTGAGGAAGAGGAGACGACCTAAGGTATGAAAACAAAACCAGTAAGACTGGTCATGTCTACCAAAGTGAATCCATCATCTCTTCTCTTTCTCTTTCTTTTTCTTTTTCTTTCTTTTTCACTTTCTCTTTCCGTCCTCTTTGTTTTCCTCTTTTTTTTCCTATTGCTTTATTCTCTCGTTCTCTTCCTCCCTCTCTCTCACTGTAATGTCACCCTCTCTCTCTATTTGTATCTGGCTTTCTCTCATCACCCGCCTATACCATTTTTCTCTTCTTCTTTCCCTCTTTTGAAACACCAGCTAGGGACGCCACCCTTCGGGTCGCAGCCAATCAGCTTGTTATGTTGACCTGGCGGGCAGTGTGATACTTCCTCTCCCTCTTCCGTGCTCTCTCTCTCTCTCTCTCTCTCTCTCACTCTCTCTTTCTCTCTCTCCCTCCCTCTTTTTTTCCTCTATCGTCTTCTCTCTCTAACTCTCACTTTCCCTCTTTCTCTCTCCCTCTCTTTTCCTCTCTCTCCAACCCCCCCCCCCCTCTTCTCGCTCCCTCCCCTCTCTCTATCTCTCCTTTCCCCTTTCTTTCTTTCTTCCTCTCTGACACACAAACACAGCATGCACACACACTCATTTCTCCGATTCTCCCCCCCTCTCTCTCTCTCTCTCTCTCTCTCTCTCCCACTCCCCCACTCTCCCTCTCTCTCTCTCTCTCTCTCTCTCTCTCTCTCTCCATCGGACCCAATGATCCGTTTAGGCGTATACCTCTAGCGTATGTGAACTTCAAGCTCCATATTAGTGGTCCAATATCCCTCGCTCCACCGACGAAGAAAGTGACAAGCTTAGATTAGCCGTCCCCAGGGAAAATCAGATCTTCACGAATCATCTTCCTTTTCATTCATTAATTTTTCAGTCAAGAAGCGTTGATAGTTTTAGACCTATCCGGAAGTTGAGATAATCAATACTTATAGGCCTATTTGTTCATCACAATCAACATTTTCTTGTGCTCCACAGATATTTTGGAAACAACCAGGTTTTGTAACGATGGTATAGCTAGTAGCTACCATATTTTTGACAGGATCCAAAACCAGGGCAGTAGCGATCGCCGCCCAGCCGTTCGATTCACAGCTGGGATTCCCCATTAGTGTCTCTCTTTTCCCGCGTTCTGTCATCCGATTCATTTCATTGCAATAACAGTCCAGACAGACGGGATGTCGGCAGAAAAGTAAGTATAAAATAAATTTCATTTGAATGAAGCGAGCTTACGTATTGATGAGCTGTCTATATAATCCAAGTCTTCCTCTAAAGCTTAAAATTATGTTTTCAAAATATTCATTACTTATACTTACTTCTATATAATTTCATTTAGGCTAATTCTATTTTGCCTATTGTCACGAAAATGGCATTAAGTCATGTTTATATTTTACATACACATCTTACAATTTGCATATTGATTTTGTTATTATTTGTATCGGACTCACTTTCACATTCAAGCAGCACGTCTATTCATTCAGTGTCATCTATGAAAATTACCTCATTTTTAGTTCATCTATTCTTAATACAATCTTGATAATTTACAAATGATTCTTAACTGCATGATAATACGAAATTGTTTTGTAAAATATTAACACAAAAGGATATATAACTCTAGATAAGCCTTGTCCATTGTGTCTCGATCGAGATATTTTTTTTATATTTTACCACTCGAATCCTGCAGCTCTTGTTCCGGAATTTCATTAGGCCATGTTATATATAGGCAGGGCAAAAAGGTTGGGGTCAAGTTCGGGGTCAATGTATTTTCCTTCTACAGAACCTTTTTTCTTCTTCTTGCACACACTATATACTGTCTTCTGTAAAAGTACTTTCTTTAACCTAAAACTGATGAAGATAATGGCTGATCAGACTTAATGATCTAATGAAATGATTTCATGCCTTAATATGTGGTAATCATAATCAAAATTATCTTTGCACTGGCCACTGCCATGACTACATGAACAGAACAAACTCGGCCACCAACATGAATAATATAAACCTTCTCAGTTTGTAAATATCTCTATCTATGTCTGTCTGTCTGTCTCTGTCTCTCTCTCTCTCTCTCTCTCTCTCTTTCTCTCTCTCTCTCTTCCAACACTTCTCGTTGAAAGCCTGTCGGTCATAG